GGTCTAGTGAGGGGAGTTGATAAGAATCTCAAGTAACTCTCTCCAAATCTGGACTCCAGCGTGGTCCATGCTATGGTCATCCCCCTTTCGACGGGTGGTCGAAGGTGACTACTATCCGCCACACTCCAATTAGTGACAGGCCTGCTGCTAGCCACCTCTTCTCCAATCTGAGTTGCGGGCGCCAACCTCTGAATGCTTGCCGCTCAACATGGGAGGACGTGAAGCCACTTATCCCTCATATGTGCCCGGCCTAAGCCTCATGCTGATGCCCGCTTATTGGTACTCCTACTTGCAAAAAAAAAATTGTTGTTAGAAGGGCGCCGATCTGGAGGATCGCCCACCTGTGAAGAATAAGAATGTGGCCCTCACCCGCCAGTCCTATAGCATGAACGTCCGGTAGGAGGGGCACCAAGCAGTAGGGATTCGTTCTAAAACGTTTGGGACTCATACAGAACAAGGAGACCACCGTCGTCGTGGCCGCTGCGCCCTTCGCGGTCTCCATCCTAGAAGTTGTCGCTGAGTGATGGAGGTCAGCAGTCCGACCTGCGGCTGGGCATCACTGTCAACTCACATAATGCCGGCCAACCAGGCGTATGGGACCTACGCCACAAACTGCCAGCAGTTGACCAAAGCTGCCAGCAGTTGACCAAGTAGAAAGGCGCCAAAGTTCCCTATGCCCACAAGATTAACATTTAACAGTGGACGAACATGGGATTCCTATGCCTGCAGGGTTTTTAGGCGAACTGTTGGGGCATCTATGCACGCATGTTTCCGTCTCTCTCAAGGTAAAAGGAAGAAGATGGCAACAACCACCTTGCCGCTAGGGAGAAGAACCACGTGGGGGCAACCTCCGGCCAACGCGGACGCCCGACGGACTGGGATGCCGCCGCATCCGCCGCACGATGGAGGGCAGCCAAGTTTAGACCCGCCACCTAGGAACCCATCGCCGTCTTAGATCCGCTTCCGCCGACTCCGTCCGGAGTTATCACCGCCTGGAACCGCCGCCTAAATCCTGGAAGCAACAGCGCCGACCGGGCAAGCGACGTCCGACCTGGGGCACTGGGCAATTTTCCGCTCGAGTTAGTCCGCCGTCGTGAAGTTCCGTCCGGTGAAGCCCTGCTGCGGACGAGGGTTCGACCCGACGACACCTTGCCGCTGAACGACCGCCAGCCTGGAGGTTCACCCGGCGACGCCCTGCTGCTGACTTTGTCCGAGGGCCTGAAGAATCGGTCTGCGATTTGGGGGTGAGGCATGCTGGATTTCTGATTGCGGTGCTGCGCTGGGGAGACGCGAGGAAGCAGACGCGCAGGGTTCCCGGGAGAGAGAAAAAAGAAAGGAAAGGAAAGAAAGGAAAGGAAAGAAAAGAAAAGAAAAGAAAAGGAAAGAAAAGAAAAGGAAAGGAAAGAAAGGAAAGAAAAGAAAAGAAAAGGAAAGAGAAAAAAGGAAAGATAAAATAAATTCCGAAAATAATTTATAAAATTATGAATTTCAGGAATTTTTGGGAGTTGATCTCGATTTGAAATTTGGGAGAAAGCTGACTACTGGAACACTAGGATGTTGAAGGAATTAATTTGGAAATCTCCATAAATTATGAGATTGACAGAATCCACAATTATGGCTCCCTCGTATGTGAGTATCTTTTAATTGGTAGCTGACTTGAACTACTTCCTCTTAGCCGAGTCTACTACTCGACTAAGGGAGTGGGGGACTCGTGATGGGGTCATGGGACTAGGCCCAGAGCCTAATCGGCCCAGGCCCTGAACTTGGACCAGCAGGCCTAATCCCAACAACCCAGAGCTCGAGTCGGCCCAACCGATCAGGCCAATCAAGGAGCGGAAGCCCGAGAGAGCCTGTCGTCCAGCCCAGCGGGGAGCCTGCCTTCCAGCCCGGTCAGGAGTCTACCCTCTAGCCCGGCTAGTGGCCTGCCTTCCAACCCGGCCAGTGGCCTGCCTTCCAACCCGGCTAGTGGCCTGCCTTCCAACCCAGTCAGAAGCCTGCCTTGCAGCCCGGCCAGCGGCCTGCCTTCCAGCCCAGCCAGGAGCCTACCTTCCAGTCCGGTTAGCGGCCTGTCTTCCAGCCCGGCCGGCGGGGAGTCTGCCTTCCAGCCCATTGGAGAGCCTGCCTACCGGCCCACCCGGGAGCCTGCCTTTCGGACTAGCGAGGAGCCTGTTCTCCAGCCTAGCAGAGAGCCTGCCTTCCATCCCAACGGGGAGCCTGCCTGCCGACCCAACCGGAAGCCTGCCGCTCGAGGAGCTCAAGCGTTCTGCCTGCTAGCCAGGCCAACCTGCTAGCCAGCCAGGAAGAGTAACAGCCAACAATCAATGCGCTATTAATTATGTGTTTAATTCTGTATTAATGTTGTAGTTAATTAGCCATTAGTATCTTTGACAGTTACTGTTTGTAAATCGCCTATAAAAGGCAAGTCAGAATTTCAAATGAGATATGCTATTTCTGGCAACTAAACACTTTTAGCTTCTTTCCTTATTCACATTATTTTCTTGATTCCTGCTTGAGTGTCGTACGTAGCTTTCCTAAAAGCCTACGAGCGTCCTATTTTGGACCAACAGTAGTAGATTTGGTGGACAAGTTTAACAATGTTTTTTTTTTAAAAAGTATCAATACACTAATAAATAAAACGTAGTCAGAGTAGAACATGTGAATAGTGTACAATTCAACATGTTACACTTATTTAAGAACGTAGGTAGTATTACATACGAAGTACTTCCAAATGTAGGAACTGCCGGGGAGAAGAACACAAAGTTTTTCGTCACTTCTCTATTCATCAAACTAATTACAACCTTAAAAAGCCTAACTTACACATGCACGTAGCTTGCTTGTAACAAGCCACCAAGGCACTAACAAATTGATCCACTAATACCACTAATTAAGTAACTAACTGCCCATGTACGTATGTAGTTACACCCATGACAATGAGACCCACTCACCCGCTACGTACATGCATGAAAATAACTTAAATAACACCAATGCAAATTAGACTAACACTAATGCAACGACACATACACACATTAGTGCCGCTACAACACATGCACGGTGGCACGCGACACACACTACTTGGCATCACTCATCCCGCCGTGCACTCACACTCTAGTCTAATATGCATTTATGACTCAAAATAAATTAAAATAAACATGATGGAATTCTAAACAAAAAGGTTAATTCCAAATTAACTGGCTAGTGTAGTGGATCGGAGTGACAAAAACTAATTAACTACTGATAGTGGGTGTGTACCCTATTATATATAGTTTCCTCGCAGAACCAAATCCTCGGTAAAACACAAATTAAAACAAAGAGAGACAATATTTGATAAAATTTTAGAGTTATTTGTATTTTCTAAACTTATTTTAAAGAACTTAATACTTGTTTCAAATAACTTTTTATTAATCATGCTTTAAAATATTTGTACTAGTTGAATGCTAAAATACATTACATTAAAAAAATTGTTTTTTGTACACATTTTCTTAAACACAATAAATATTCTTCCACTTTCTCTATCTCGTGCTCTCTCCCTTCTCTCTACTTATTCCATCGAATCAAAGATGGGAGGGATCATCTTTTCTTCACCCTAGTCTCCCCTTCTCTACTTTTTGTATCCAATTTTTTCACCACTTGCACAAAATCCATCTTTATTTCTCTCTTTTCATTTTTTCTCGTTATCTTTTTATTTATTTATTTATCAAATTGCATGTAAATTGGTCACATAAACAAGTACAAAAAATTGCACATTTTATTCGCACAAACAATTAAAATTGATGACACTAACAATTAACATTGATCACACATATAATGTTTTTTTCTGTAAGCAACACAAATAGTGTTTTTGTATTAAAATCTATCCAAACATAGGCAACTAGACTAATTACACAGATAATTATTATCTATGAATACTACAACTATGGTGTATCTTTCACAATCTATTTGAAAATTTCATATTTTGATCATGAAAAGCTAATGTATGTACACAAATGATTATTATTTGCGTACACGAACACATGTGCACAAACGTTGATTTGCATGTGAGCATATGCTTGTAGGCCTATTACTATGTCAAGGGTGGTACGTGTTACTTTACTTGAGTTTAATGCAACAACCCCCTCGTGAAATATGAATTCGGCACATTAGTCTCATGCGATTAAAAAAGCGTCAAACCCCCGCGTGTTATAGTTATTAATGCTCAAAACCTCTTCCATGAACAATTTAATTGCCAAATAAATGAAAAATGATTAGTTTTTTTTTGTATGATTTAGAAATTTTGACAAAATTACGTGCATATTCAGTTATATTATTAAGAAAAGTGATTTCAAAGGTGTAAAATTTATTCTCGGAGGGGTTTTTTTGCTCATGAATAATTAAAACACATGAAGGTTTGACATACCTTTTAAATCACATGAACTGATGCATCGAATTTATATTTCACGATGAGGTTTAATGCATTAAACTCTACTTTACTTTAGCATAGAAACTAATGTGCGTGGATACTTGTACATGGTGAAGAAGTGGTTGTACTTGTTTATGCTTTTAAAAGTTAATAGTAAAAGTTGATAGTGTTTGAAAAAAAAATTGTTTTTGAAAAAAAAAGTTGGTAACATTTAGTAAAATATGTGATTTCTGTATAATAGAAGAAGTAAAAATCAGATTTTAACTTTTAGCATTTATGTGTTTAATTTAAGTTGAATTGGTCACAAGCCGAAAATCATATTTTTTAAGTTAGAAATTGTTTTGAATAAGATTTTAATGTTTTTATTCCTTAAATATGAGTAATTTCTATCAAGTTTGAAAAAAAACTTGACACAAACTGTCATGTTTAAAGCTTGATAATGCCAAATTTGTCAGAAATGACTCATATTTAGGAAATAAAAACACAATCTTATTTTAAAATTTCAATTTTTTTACTCCTATTTAGGGAATGTTTCCTTTTTAATTTTTGCAAACATGTACAAAATGTGTATTATTTTGTACTACGTATAAATATGTTTTTATCTGGGGAACGAGTAAGGTAGCCCAAGGTGACCGTGGGCGAGGGGTTTAGCGGCGGGTTTTCTTACTCCAATCCTCTCTCTCACTCTCTTATCCACTGAATGCTGCTTCCATGACTTCCACAGCTTACCCTCTGTACTCAATGGCTCAATTTTCCACGCCTTGGAGAGTACCCCAAAATCCCCGAGGAAATAGTAACTTGCTCACACCTTGTACTGCTGAACTCAATGTGTCGCAAAACTCACAACTTTTTAGCGTTCACCATCTCAAACGGGCAAAACCTCTGCTGTTGTACGCTGTTTCAGTTTCGAAAGAAGATACCCTCGCTCAAACTCACGATGATACTTCAAATGTCTCCAATGTTTCACTCAAGGTTCTGCCAGAGGAAGAATCGATCGGGAGAGTTACGGTTCAGGACCCAGCATGGATTTCTTCTGTTTTCTTGAAAAACCTATTCGTTAGAGCTACTGAGATTCAACGGGAGAAGATTAGGATTCGCGAAAACGACGGGCAAAAGTACCGTTTGTTGAGGAAGAGGCAGGTGATGGCGGAGACCGAGGCTTGGGAGAATATGGTAGACGAGTACAGAGAGCTAGAGAGAGAAATGTGTGAGAAGAAATTGGCGCCACACCTCCCTTTTGTGAAGAGACTCTTGCTTGACTGGTTTGAGCCCCTGAGAGATGCAATAGTGAAGGAGCAAAAGGCTCTGAGGTCCAAGAAGCACAGGGAAGCGTTCTCTCCTTACATTGACTCTTTGCCTGCTGATAAAATGGCGCTCATTGTGATGCACCAGATGATGGCGATGTTGATGACGGGCGGAAAAGAGAGTAGGTGTGTTCCCGTGGTCCAAGCTGCAGTGCAGGTTGGCAGTGCAATTGAGCAGGAAGTAAGCATTGAGTTTTGATATATTTTCATTCACATGTTAGCATCTACTCTTATAGCTTGTGTATCTATGAGATCAGAGAGGCATAAGGTAATTCTTTTACAGATGGAGGTAGTACATAAAAAATGCTTCTGTATATGTACAGTATATTGAGCTTCAGCCTGTCCAGGTAATCAGGATGAAGTTACTTAGCTAAGACGTGTTATTGAAAACAGGATTACATGGGTTGAAGTGCATTATACTGTTTGTTAAAGAGTGTTTTCTAAAATGTAAAATCTTGTTTCAGAAGTGTCATCTGTATACATCAGCCGGTTGGTAGGTAAAAACAAAAAAAGTTCAGTCTGGTGTATCAATTTATATTCTGGTTCATGATTGGTTTGTGGATGCATATATAAATTTGATTCATAGCTTGATAGCATACATAAATAAGAGGAAAAGAAGGAGCATTGGGACCTTTGAAATTTCTTATGAGTATATTTAGTAAATTAGTAGTAGTTAATGCTCTTTCTTCTTTGAGTTTTATCCATTAATTTTAAACCCTTCTAATTTTCAATTGTTTTTGTCAGAGACTAGTGTTTCTCAGTAAAAAATTTGAAAATTCATTATTGCGCAGTATAGGGAAAGAGGCAAGCAAATCCTTAACTTACTGTTTTAAACTCATTTATTGGTTTATTATCATTACACTAAGCATCGGTTACTCTTCAGCCTGTTTAAATAGACCCAAGTTCCTCATATGCTTCTTGTTTACATGGGAAGTGTCTTGACTCTATCGAGTCCTCTAATAATGACATTTCAAACTAATAAAATTCTTGCAAACCTGCTAACTGTTAAGCATATGCTGATTATCAAATTATCATTGAAGCATGAATCAGGATTTAGGAGTTGCCAAAGTAGTATCGAGTATCAAACAAAATAGCCATTTTTATGCATTTCTATTAACTGACAATGTTTTTCAGGTTAGAATTCATAGTTTCATGGAGAAATTGAAGCAAGTCCAGAGACAAACAACTGAAGCACCAACCCAGGAGGATTTCAGCAAGGATCCAGTACTGTTAAGAAAGCGGATGCAATGGCTGATTAAAAGGAATAGAGTATTTGAAGTGAAAAAATTTTTGAGAAATGAAAAATTTGAGCCTTGGGACCAAGATACAAAGGCTAAGGTTTGCTTCTACTGGTTTCTGCTTATTCCAGAACTAATAATCAGTGAAGCCAGCTCCAATTGTGCAGATCTTCTTTGGTAATAAGTTTTTTCTATCCGATGCAGTTGGGATGCCATCTCATAGAATTATTAACAGAAACAGCTTACGTGCAACCCGCTGTCCATCAGTCAGCTGATTGCCCTCCTGATATTCGGCCTGCATTTAGGCATTATTTCAAAACTTCATCACAAGATTTTGGGTGAGAACTAATTATCTTAATGGGTATCTGATGATGAATTAGTGTGATGATTACATTTTAGTTGGTTATGTTAGTTAGACCATTTCTTTGAAGTAAGTAGTATATTCAAAATAGCTCAGTTACCTTTTCATGGTGGAACAGTATCACGTGTTGTATGATATCATTAGGGCATATATAACACTTCTAGAAAGTAATCCTCAAACTTTCAGTCAATCAGATATAACTAATATTTACAAAAAACATGTCTTTGATGAGGTCCTTTCAGTACAGATTCATTTTTTTCATTTCTTGTGCTAGGGCAATAGCCCAAACAAATCCCACTTAGTAGGCACTAAGTAGCTTAGGTTAGAATATAAAGCCTCAGAATGGTCAGCTGAATATCCTTTTGTTTCTGTTTTCAAATTTCTCACTTAGTAGATAAATACTTGACGAATAGAATTTATTTCTTAAGAGTAAATACAATAGCTAATTACAATTTATAGGCCTGGATTAACTTAATAAAGGAAGGAGTAATTATGTACAAGATCTACTCATCTACTAATTAATACAAATCTCTTGCTTGATTTTAGGAAGTCAGATTATGATCAGAACAAATCTCATAATAATCAACTAAATATTTTAATATCTCTACACTTCCCTTCAAGCTGGTGAATGGATATCTATCATTCCCACCTTGCAAGTAAGTTCTGGAAATCGCTCTACCGGAAGCCCTTTGGTGAGCACATCAGCCAACTGAAGCATCGAAGGAACATATTGTGGAGAAATAAGACCACTATCCAGTTTTTCCTTGATAAAATGTCGGTCTAATTCTATGTGTTTTTTTAACTATCATGCTGGACTGGATTATGAGCTATATTAATAGCAGGTTTATTATCAAAGAAGAATCTCATAGGAGCTTTACACGGTATTTCCAGATCTCCAAATATGATCTTCATCCACAATAATTCACAACCCCTTGAGTCAAGACTCTGAATTTTGCTTCTGCACTCGATCTTGCCACTACATTCTGTTTCTTGCCCGTGCATGTCACTAAATTTCCACCCAAGAACATGCAATATCCTATAGTGGACCTTCGATCTACAATTGACCCTGCATAGTCAGCATCTGTATAAATCCCCATGGACAGGTGCTCCTCCTTTTTTATAGCAGCCCTCTCCCAGGACTTGCCTTCAAATATTGCAAGATTCTATTCATTGCCTGCAAGTACCTTTCATGTGGGTCATGCATGAACTGACTAACAACACTAACAGGATAGGCTATATTAGGCCTTGTGTGAGATAGGTAAATGAGTTTTCCCACGAGTCTCTGATATTGAGTCTTCTCTACTTTTGGGCTCTTCTCATCATGCCAATCCTGTGATTTTGCTGTATGGGTACTCTAGTGATTTTGCAACCTAACTTGCCAGTTTCTTTGAGAAGACCGAGAACATATTTTCTTTGGGAAATGAAAATGCCTTGTTTTGAGTACGTTACCTCTATACCTAGGAAATATTTGAGCTTTCCAAGGTTCTTCATTTCAAACTGTGCTGCCAGCTCCTTTTTCAGACCACATTTTTCAAGTTATTTTTCTTGCACCATTGCATCATCACTGACTCCTATTTTCTTCACCACCAAAAGTGTGAAAAACCTCTGAAAGAGATGGTGGTTTCTTGTTACCCAAAATTTGAACCCCGTGTTCTTTCAATAAATTGGGTTAGTGTAGTAGAGTCTTCATTACACTTATTGTCAAACTTTGATAGTTTGATATTGATCTAATTCGATCCAGAGACTATTTGAGTGCCATAATAGTCCGTTACAAGAGTTCTCTGCTTAGTATTAAAGACTTTATTTTCCAATTCATAACATGCAAACAGATCTTGTTTCATGAAATATGACTCTGCCAGATTCTTTCAGATCTCCCTAGCAGTTGTGAAAAACATAGAAATCCTACTTACCTCCGGAGTTATAGAGTGCCAAAACCATGTCATGATGAGAGAATCCTCATCAACCCATGTTTCATATTGTGGATCTGTCTCAGCAGGGGCTTTGCCTTCGATGTGACAGTGATGTGACTAATCCTCTTGCGTCCTCTAAGAGTGGTACGAACAAGCTGGGACCATTGAAGATAGTTGCGCCCATCTAACCGGTCTGACCCACATAATATCGGGAGGTCATTGTGGGTCAAAGGTGGAAGAGGGACAATTTTTTCTTCAAGATCAGGTATAGTTAAGAAAAAATACCACACTAGTAAAGTGGTACTTTGGAAGAAGGGAAAAATCACCTTTGGAAAGAAACCTAGGGGAGCAACGTTTTCGCAGTTATGTTTTGATGAAAATGACCTTTTGTTGTGTGTGTATGCAGAAGCAGAGTCCCTAAAATCGGGAAGCTCTGATACCAACTTGAAGAGTAGAATTTATTTCTTAAGAGTAAATACAATAGCTAATTACAATTTATAGGTCTAGACTAACTTAATAAAGGAAATAGTAAATATGTAGATCTACTAATTAATACAAATCTCCTACTTTCTAGGAAATCAGATTATGATCAGAAGTTCATAACAAATCTCATAATAATCAACTAAATACTTGAATATCTCTACATAAATTTATATTCCATTTTATTTTGCCTTTTATGATTTGGTTCAAATAATTAGCTTGCTTGGCGGTGGTCCTTGTAGGAAAAATTTTGTGAAAAAGTTTGGTGTTATAGAATGTGATCCCCAGGTGGTTGCCGGAACAGATACAGTAAGTAAATTTACATCTTTGTCTTTCTTTCTGTACTGATCATATCCAGTATCATCTTAAAACATCGTTTCAACTTAAGCAATAAGTTTGTTTCAATATGCTCATTTTCCAAGAAGTAACCTATTTCATCAATTGGTTCTAGTCTTGAGTGTGTGTGTTTATATATATAGTCTTTATTTATTTAATATTTTAATTTATTAATTTTTATGTATTGACCTGTTTTGCTTTACTTTGATATTTAATCATGAGCAGGTTAAGCACATGATGATTCCTTATATACCAATGTTGGTGCCACCAAAAAAATGGAAAGGGTGAGATGCTAAAATACCATGAAATTTTACTCAGATCCCCTGAGGGTTTGTTTTAAATGTTCCCTAAAAGTGATTTTTCCATTCTTAAAATAACAAAATGCTGATCTGGGAATGTTTGGGATATACTTAGACATGATTATGTACACTAAACTAAGGTAAAATAGAAAAAAATGTATACTCAGGGGTTCAGGTAAAAAATGATAAAAGGTGGACATCTATGTTTTGCTGGCCTTGACCGTGAGGGTACTAAAAGAATTATTTTAAGTTAACACCTGGAATTAAAGTCTTGGTACTATTGACTGCCTGCTTTCAGCAGCTTTTTAAGGATTTTTTTAAGTTTATGCAATGACAATAGCCTCTTATAAGGCATCATCTGCCTCTTTAAAGGACTGTTAGTAATGTGCTGCATGCAAACGTTTAAACTTGTTCAGCTGTTCCCTTTCTATCAGGTATGACAAAGGTGGGTACTTGTTCCTACCCTCATATGTGATACGTACTCACGGATCTTGGCATCAAAAAATTGTTCTCCAAAGTGCTCCCTTGAAACAAATGGAACAAATATATGAGGTGAGGCATTAATTGCATACTTAATGTTTCTTATTGCTTTTGCATGTATTCGTTTCAGACTATATTCAAAGGTTTATATGCTGAATGATGTGAAGGGTACATATTACCCTTCTGCCTCTCTTATTGAATATAATGACACTATGCATTGCCGTTTTTCTTCATACGTTTATATTATGTTAATCATTGCCATACACATGCCTCCAAGGGTCCAATTTTTTCTTAGAACTAAAATTAGTCTGGGTGGTTGTTTATATCTTTGATTTGGACTTCAAAATTATAACTTCGAGATGATGCAGTAAAGTTCCCTTAGAATCACTCTTGGGACGATTTGAAATTTATTGGTTTTCCAGTTTACTTATACATTCTAGATATAAGCATTTATGTGCTGTATTATACTAGGTGCTGCACCATTCTGCTCAACATGTCTCATGAAGAATGCAATACTGTGATGAGATTGTTCTGAGGTCCTTTTTCGCAATTACAGGCCCTGACTACTTTAGGCAACATAAAATGGAGAGTAAATAAAAGAATATTAAGTGTGGCAGAAAGTATTTGGGCTGGCGGTGGCAATATGGCTGGCCTCGTGGATTGCAATGATGTGAGCAACCTAACTTATTTTGATGCTCAAAAGTATTGATATGTATTTTATGTAGTGCATGCATCCATTTATTTGATAAAAGGAAAACCTACAATAGAAAAGATGAAATTTTAGAGCTGAAAACCAGGTTTGATCTTTTAATGAGCTTGAAAAGTAATCACATAGTACAACAAGGCATATAGAAAGGAAAAATTGATTGTAATAATCCCAACTATTGGCGGTCCGCTTATACTAATCCCAACTATCGATTATTTCAGAATAATCTCAACTTTAGGGACTGTCCGCCAATAATGGTCCATGACCACATATTACCTCCTCTAATAAGTGAATTTTTAATAGAAATTAAGCGTAAAAATTAACATTTGGGATTATTTATAGGGATTACTTGCTATATCTCTTTAGAAACTATAAGAATTTATTTATAGTCGGTCACGTCGGACCATTATTGGCGGAAGGTCCCTAAAGTTGGGATTATTCTGGAATAATCAATAGTTGGGATTATTATGAGCGGACCGTCAATAGTTGGGATTATTACAATCAATTTTTCCATATAGAAATAAACCAAACAAACCTACCAAGCCAGTATGTCCTGTCCCAAAGTAGGTTTTGGGTAGGGTGAGTTGTCCACAGACCTCACCTAGTAAGCTGATATCTTTACCCCTAGGAGCAAAAAAAATGTTTCCGTGAAAACCCCCAGCTAAAATATAAAATCCGAATTGGGGATATTCTGTAGGCAATTGAGTTTAAACCAGGTTGGACCATGGCACCAGTGCTACACAAAAACACGTATACTGATTTTCATCTTCTGTGGGCTAGCAATACTGTTGATATGTGACATCATATCCTCACATATACCTTTCTTTTTCACAAAATGTTAGAGAAATACTCAAAATTGCTGTACATTCTTTTGTTCTTTAGCATGCTTCATTGGCCGACTTTGTTCTTTGTAGGTTCCCATACCAGAGCTGGACTCAGATGATATTGAAGAAGTGAACAAATGGAAATGGCATTTGATGAAAGCAAAGAAAACTAACCGTGAGAGGCACTCGATAAGATGTGACATTGAATTGAAACTTTCTGTAAGATTTTTCTCTTTTAAAATTTAGTAGTTTTTGCTTTTTAATTTTCCTATAAAGATTTTTGTTGTTCTTATCTATCTTAAACAACAACAACATCCAAGCCTTAATCCCAAAAGATTTTGGGGTCAGCACCAAAAAGAATAAGAAAGATAAGAAAAATGAAAAAAAAAGATAAAATGGATAAGAATAACTTTGCTTTAACACCCGGTTGTGTCTCATCAATCAATACAATATCGTCGTCAAACATTATCCACCATGGTATATCTTCATGAATTGACTTCATAAGTTCATCCATGACTATATCGAATAAGAAAGGACTTAGAGCCGATCCTTAGAGCACGCCGATAGTAATAGGGAATTATGCAGTTCTCACTACATTAGTATGAACACTTGTAGTACAAGCCTCATACATATCCATGATGATACTGGTATACTTACGTGATATACCTTTTCTAGTTAAGGCTCACAAAAGGACTTCTCGAGGTACCCTATCATATGCCTTTTCTAAGTCAATGAACACCATATGCAGATTCTTTTTAGTATCTCTATACTTCTTCACAACTTGTCTAAAACGGTGAATGACCTCAGTTGTTGAGCATCCATGCATAAAACCAAACTGATTCTTTGAGATTTTCACACTTTTTTGGATTCTTTGCTCAACTACTCTCTTCCGAAGTTTCATGGTGACTCATAAGCTTAATCCCGGACACATTCTTGTACATAACCCTTATTTTTGAATAGGAGAATGAGATTACTCTTCCGCCAACTCACTGGCATTTTGTTGTTTCTCTAAATCATGTTGAAGAAACGTGTTAGCTGCTCGATGCCTCTCTCCCCCAAACTTTTCCAGGCCTCGATCAGTATGTCATCTGGACCCACTGCTTTCTTCCGCCCAATGTTTCTCAGAGCCTCTTTAACTTCTATCGTTTGGATCCTTCTCACAAAGTCCCAAATATTTCAATTAATGTCATGTGATGTGACTAAGTGATACTGTTGGCCGTCACACTCCTACCACAAAACCCTCCTCCTTTATCCCGGCTTGGGACAGACATGATACCAAAAATGTCTCATGGCGGAGTTTTCTTATATGTCTAATACTACCTCCGTTCTTAAATAAATGCAACACTTTGACTTTTACACTATTCACATGTTCTACATTGACTGCGTTTTATTTATTAATGTAATAATATTATTTTATGAAAAAATATTGTTAAACTTGTCTCATTGTAAATTTTCATACTCTAATTTTTTTAATTTTTTTACTAATACAAAATCATTTATATTAATGGTCAAAGTTGTGTCTAGGCAAGTGTGAAATGTTGACCGTTGCATTTATTTAAGAACGGAGGAAGTATATTGCATATTTTTTTACACTGTTGAGACCTAAAAGTTGATTTACTTTTTGGTCAGAAAAAGATCTTTGTGATTGACTTTTATTTATTGGTTTGCCTGATCAATCTAAGTACTTTAGGAACTCAAATCATGAAATGTCAACTAGATCTTTGAAGCAAGTGCATGACAAAGTTATTGATTGTGCAGGGAGTGTTTCAAAGTTAGGACTAGATGCTTACACTATGTCACTATGGTATCGTTCTTTACACTAAACATTGTCTATCCAAATGAGTTGATTTCTTTGTACCAGGTGGCTCGGAAATTAAAAGACGAAGAAGGCTTCTATTATCCCCATAATCTTGATTTTAGGGGGCGTGCATACCCTATGCACCCACACTTAAATCACTTAAGCTCTGATCTCTGTAGAGGAATCCTCGAGTTTGCTGAAGGACGTCCGCTAGGAAAGTCTGGATTACGCTGGCTGAAGATACATTTGGCAAATCTTTTTGGAGGAGGTGTTGAAAAGCTTTCATATGATGAGCGCCTAGCATTTGTCGAAAGCCACATTGACGATATACTAGATTCAGCCAACTATCCGCACACTGGAAGTCGTTGGTGGTTAAGAGCTGAGGATCCTTTCCAGTGCTTAGCTGCTTGTATCAATCTTTCAGAAGCTTTAAGAAGCTCATCACCACATACTATCATCTCCCACTTGCCAATTCATCTGGTAAGAATCTTTTCTTGTTGTCTAGGACTGTCCTAGGTTGGAGGGTGCTTGGATGCAACTTCTTTCACTATCCTAAAAGAGAAAATAAGCTCTTTTCTGTAAAGTATTTTATAGAGGATATTGTCATTATCGATATTATTTTTATATAGCTTACTGTTTCCTTTGACATTCATATGTTTACATTCACATTCAATGAAATAGATCTTTTTTTTGTCTCATCATGTTAGGGCAAGCTCTTAGAAATGAGTTGCTTAGTTTGCAAAGATCACCATAATTGAAGTGGCTCCCCTTTGGCCTTTGGAGATACAGCGACCAGTTATGTGTTTGAAAAAAAATCCCAGCATTTCTATTACAATGTGACCCCGGGCACTTCTACTGTAGTATTATGCTAAATATATTCTGTAAAATCTGAATGCCATCACCAACTTACCAGTTACCACATAGCTTGAACACACCGTAACTTGAAAACATATCCCAACCTTTCCATAACCTTCAATTTTGTTTTTTGTCATGTACTCCTGTGGTACCTTGTACTTCGCGCTGCTATGTTACTATGAATGAAAGTGGACTTAAGCGTTGATGGTAGTGCTTGAATATGAAAATTCTGCGAGGATCAAGGATGTCTAGAGAAACCAAGGATTTAATTTTCCTTCTCAGATGCCAACCATTCTTTTTAAGATTCTAGAATTAGTTCATTTAGAATGCCTTTCTTTTTTTCTAATGTCATTGTTTCTTTTCTAGGACGGCTCATGCAATGGCCTACAACACTATGCAGCATTGGGGAAAAATAGTGTATGTGAATTTAGTTATCCTTTGTCTCTGCTATTGTATACTCCCTTCGGTCCTAAATAAACTTCACACTTACCTTTTTGGGCAGGTCCAAAATAAACTTCACACTTCTATTTTTGACAAGTTTTTAATATAAAGTTACCTTTATACCCTTACTTTATTACCTACTTCACACTTTATCTGCTTTTTGTAGGGGTATGGTGGGAAAGTCAAAACAAAAAATTTCACTTTCTTAAAAACCGTAAAGTCAAACCATGAAGATTATTTAGGACCGGAGGGAGTATTACTTTAATATTTTGGGGGTTTGATTGGGACAGAGAGTTATCTTGCTTTCCTATCTGCATGGTTTTGTCTTTTTATATAAGAGTATTACTCTTATTGCTTGTACTGATAGCATTTGATTGTCTGATGCTGGAATGTTGTATCAGAGGGAAGCAGCAGCTGTCAATTTAGTTGCTGGAGAGAAACCTGCTGATGTTTATTCTGAAATTGCTCGAAGGTATATCATTTCCATTGACTTTATTTTCTGAGGTGGATGTATTCCTGTAGGAAGAAGTTATTATTGTGAACTTTTCAAAAAAATCAGATTAGCTTTCGATAAGAAATGACAGAATATTTGTTTTCAAGCCTACAATTCTAGTTATGAATGATTATGTGCTGCTTTAATAAAGATCATATGAATTCAGCTGGATATACGTTTCATGGGAATAGAAAGGTGAAATGTGATATATCAAATCTTGGGTGTTCATGAGTAGCACTTGCTCATGTTTCCTTGCTTTTATGGAGTTTGTTTGGCAATGGACCACAATACTTTTTTATTTAGCCATTTATTCAGGGTTCACTGTTCATCTGGATAAGTCATGAAGACTCATTATTTATAAGACTAAAACACATTTTCATTGTCTGGTGTTTGCCTTATTTTGTTTAGTTTATCTTCTAGAGTTGAACATAAAGGGTTACTGTGTTATTTCCGATTGAAAAAAATGAGTGAATAATATTTACTTGGAAAAATTAAAAACAACCACATTTGCAACCAATTTTATAATATAAATAATTGTGTCAATCATTCATTAATCAATCAATTATATATGGGAAAAGGTACAAATATACCCTTGTAGTATGGGTGTGGGAACAAATATACCCCTGTTACATTTCTTGGAACAAATATACCCCTGAAGTTTATGTGGAAGTGCATATATACCCCTTAACTTTTAAAAAGTGTAAAAATACCACTCATGTTCCTATAAAGGAGCAAATTTAGCCTTATTGATTATAAATAGATAAAATAAATTTCAAAAAACACCAAAAATAAATTTGAAGTTGAAAAAAGAAAATCTACTTGTGTAATTCTCCATTTTATTATTTTATATCACAATTTAATATTGTTAGCATTATTTGTTAGTATAAAATATTATTTCAAAACTTTACTATATATTTAAGATTCTTTCAGAAAAGTGCTAACAAATGTGTTGGCGGTGTTGCAATAATTAATGTAGAAAAATCATAAATTTTTAATATACATTGCGCTATAAAATTACATGTTTGTATGATGACAAATAATCCAAGATTACAAAATAGTGGATTTAATTCTATTAAGGTCAAACAAAATCATGGAATGTTAATTCAAAAAATGTAACAATGTGTTCAAAATTTTGCAACAAGACTAAAATTAATATTTATGAATTTGAAGTGCTTCATTTACAACGGAAAAATAATATTTTTTTCAATTTAAAAATGAATCTTTATTTTTAACTCTTAAATTTTTTATTTTTCAATTATGATTTTATAATTTATTTTTAGTGTTTTTTAAAATTTATTTTATTTATTTAAAGTGAATAAGGGTAAATTTGCTCCTTTATAGAAACATCAGGGGTATTTTTGCACCTTTTAAAAGTTCAGGGGTATATATGCACTTTCACATAAACCTCAGGGTATATTTGTTTCAAAAAATAGAACAAGGATATATTTGTTCTCACACTCATACTACAGGGGTATATTTGTACCTTTTCCCATTATATATAGACAATGCAAAAACTGTGAAGCTAAAATACTCACTCCCCTCTGTCCCTCTAAAATTTTCCAGTTTTGAATGGCGCATACAAGGAGAAAGTAAATATTGTGTGGTTGAGGTTCGTTTATAGACAAGAGAAATAATATAAACCATATACTTGGCTCTTTAAAGGGAAAGACTAATTCTTTGAGACAGCCAAATAAGGAAAGCTTGCAAAGTTTAGTGGGATGTAAGCCTGTAAGGAGTATAAATATATCATATGACAATGGTTAAGCATTAATACTTACGACCGTGCTTGCGATTTGTGACAAAGACAATAATGGGTAGTAAAGAATGCAATGACATTAGTGGTCGTAGGGGAGGTAATGACGGTGGTGGGGTTGGTGATACCTGTGATGAGGGCAGCAGCAATGAAGGGGTGATTACAACAGTGATGGTGGTGGGAATAAGTGAATAACAGCAATGGTGGGGTAGTATTGACAATTTGACAGCATCAGTTGGTATGATGGCAGTGGCTATAACAGAGGCGGTGCTGAACATGGAATGCTGATGATTCCGGTGACAATATTTCAGGATGACGGGGTAGTGATGGAGTGGAATCGGTGATTACAACAGTCACTGTATTGAGGCGGTGATGGGGGGATTTGTAGAGTTGGACTGGCCCTTACCAGTTGCAATAGTGGGTGGGTAATGACTGACTATACTAACACTATTAAGCAGTAACAGTTGTGAGGCGATTGCATTGGCGATGATTGTAGGGTTGCGATCCCAATGATGGTAGTAGGGTGAAGATGGGGAATGATAGCCGCGGAAATGCAGAGAGGTGACAATAATGATATTAAAAATTGTCCTAAATAGGAGTAAAAACGTTTATGAGTGTAAAAAAGGACTACTATGTTTTTATTCCCTAAATAGGAGTCATTACTGCCATGCTTGCAAATACTGCCATAACTGGCAGTGTATAAGTGGCAGTATTTTCTAAGTTTGGCAGTGATTACTCCTATTTAGGGAGTAAAAATATAGTACTCCTTTTTTAGAATTCCAAAACGTTCTTACTCCTATATTTCGAGAATTTTCCATATTAAGAGCTGGTAACCTTAAGTTTAAGTGAATGTAATATAATCCCAGAAGGTGCTCAAATTGTTAACAGCTTCACCTAGTATGACTGTAAAACGCTAGTGACATTAAAATGAAAATCTTGTTAGTCGATAGTTTTACATCTGCTTTACTTTATTGCTGTATGAATATGATGACTAATATAAGTTATTTCTTGATAATCAGGGTTCAGTATATTATAAAAGAAGATAGTCTAAAGGACCCATCTACTGATCCCAGCGCTTTACTAGCCAGACTAATAATTGATCAGGTTTTAACAATGATAGTTTCTTGGTGCATGTAGCTTTACTTTCTTTTGGATTTGAAATCTCTGGCTTTCACATCGATATTTAACATCAAATTAATATTTTGGGGTTATGAAACTTTCAGGTAGACCGGAAGTTGGTGAAACAGACAGTAATGACTTCTGTGTACGGTGTTACTTTTGTTGGGGCACGTGAGCAGATCAAAAGAAAGTTAGTGGATAAAGGTCTTATTACTGATAATAAGATCCTTTTCAGTGTTTCTTGCTATGCTGCCAGGGTAAGCATCAGGCCTCAAATCTAGAAGTTCATGTTGTCGTTATAAGTGAAATAGCTGGATAACCATAGGTCTCATGTTTTCTCATCGCACTTACACTGCACCTTGCTATGCTGCTAAGGCATCAAACTATAAACTTATGTGAAAAAAGCAGGGGTACTAAGATTAGGAATGTACTCCATAGTACAAGGTATATCATAAAGAAAGTAACAGCTGTTTTACTAATTTACAACAATCTATAGTGAATGTTCACATTTCCTACTTTTTTCATCAAATTGGTGTGTAGATCTCCTTCATTACTAATTTTCCGATCAACTTGTCAAAAGTAGGGATGTACAGTCTCTTTCAAGTATGTCTTCAAGTTGGTGACCACTAGCAACAGGTAGACTGCAAATTAGTCCACTTACCACTGCCAAGCTTTCCCCACATGCACTTATGGATTAATATTAACTTCAACATGGTTTATTTTGTCATGCGGCAAATAATCACCTGCAAATTTGCAATATAGTAGTGGCTGATGTATTATCATTAGAGTGTCGCACTTAGATTCATTTCTTTTACAGCTTTTAAAATTATTCTTAGCAATACTTGTTGACAATTCCCAAGTGCATATATAAGTATATGTGATTTGTTTCTTCGACGAATCTAGTCGGCTTTTTGGAATTTCTGCTCTTTTACAATTAACACCTTTACCACATGATTTGCTTATCTGCGTCTCTTTATGTGTCTCTTTAAAACTCCATATTGTTTTTTCCCTGTGGGTATTTTCCTTGTGCCTGTTATCTAAGCAGTAGGCAGGTGCTTTAAATTTGCAATGTTATTGCGTTGTAGGGGTTATGTTGTACAACAACATACAAGGCTTATTCTCAAAAGATTTTGGGGTCGGCTAACACGAATCGATCCATGATAACAGAGCCACAAAGAGAAGAAAAATAAGAAAAATAAAAAGATAAGGTAAGATAAAAGGATAAGATATATATAAATATAAGATAAAGAACAGAAGAAAGATATAAAATAAAAGAACATAAGAAAGATAAAAGATAAATAAAACACTTACATATCAATGATAACACGATATATGTTAGTGTTATACAATTGATTAATTAACTATGTATTATTTTATAGTTTATTATATCACACTTATATGTGATATTTATTCTAATATTATTATTGAAAATTGATTATTGGTAATTACTAAAAAATTACTATTAGCTGTTTTATAAATTATACCTAACTAATACTTAGGTAATAGCTCTTCAATTGTCCAATAGTAGCAGATTGTTTTTATTTAACAAATATATAAGACAATTTTTATTATTAACAATTTTTTATGTAACAGCTTATTACATTAATGATTCAAATTACTATTACTTTTTTTTTTTAAAATTACTATTAACAGTTAATGTCACAATTACTACTAACAGTTTATATAATAGTTTATCCAAAACTGACTATTAATTGTTTTATATATAAGTAATAGTTAGGCAGTACCCATCCAATAGTCCACTCCGTTCAAAGCATATTGTATAATTTTTACAATTTTACTCTAATATCATAAGACAAACTTGAATGTTTATTAAGATTGTTTAGTAGTTTGAAGTGTTTTTTCGAAAAGTGCTTCATGTAGAAGTAGTATAGATATATTTTACCAAAGATATGAGGTTAAGATCCGTGAGACGCGCTCCTTGCCGCCTTGGGTAAATCAATGAAAACGTCTCATGCCACCTCGCGCCTTTTAAAACTAAGGGCACAACAGCGCATGATAACTCAAGCTAATAAACATCGTCGCGAGGTGGATTTCCAAGTTGGGGAATAAGGTGTTTTTGAAGGTCAGACCTCACCAGTAGTTCACTTATTCTGCTAGCCTTACAATAAGCTATCACCCAAATTCTATGGGCCATTTGAGATTAAAGCACGCATTGGGCTGACCGCTTATCGACTCGATTTACCATCCACCAGCCGCATCCATCCGGTCTTTCATGTGTCTCAGTTGCAGCGGGTAGTGGGAGATCATCCGGTAGAGTGTGAGCTGCCAGAGAGTTTGAAACTACCTATGGGTCTGGTGTTCGAACCTGACGAGATATTGGCCAGAAGAAAAAGAAATGACAAAGAAGAAGAGCTATTGGTAAAGTGGGCTGGGCAGCCTAGTGACGATGCTACCTGGATGAGTAAAGAAAGCTTTGTGAGCCAATTTCCAGATTTCAACCTTGAGGACAAGGTTCTTTCGGAGGAGGATGAAGTTGATAGAGAGCAGGGAGAGCCGGGGATGGAGCGGAGGAAGTGGGTCCGAGGCCGAGGCCCTTGTAAGTCTACCGCAAGCGGGACGGGCTTGAGCCCACCTTCGTGGGCTGGCTCTAATTATTTTAATTAGTTTTAATTATTCATTTTATTATGCTTCCTATTCTATTTTGTTTCATAGTATTTTGTTTCCTAGTATGATTTAATTAGGACTTCTATTCTTATTAGAATAAGAGGGTTATTTAAACCCCTAACTAGGACTTTTGGATTCATTCATCAATAATATTGGAGTTATAGATTTAAGCTTGGGCAACGGTTGCTACCGTTGATTCTTTTCTTTCGGCTCTCATCACCATCCTCTAGCACAGGTTATATAGAGTTCACATCCATTTCACACTTTTGAGGCAGGAAGGGCATCTAGCATTAAGCCTACCGCTATGTTGATTGCATGAACATACTGTTAAATAATGTTAGACAATTGAGTGAAACTATAAAGTTTATGCCACCAATTGTTTCATAGTTGGGATTGATGTAATTCTGATGAGTTTTATTCATCTTTAAATTGCCTAACAGGTGACATTATCTGCTCTTGGAGAGTTATTTCAAGATGCGCGGCATATTATGAATTGGCTTGGAGATTGTGCAAAGGTTTGTGATGGGTGATTGTTAAATAATTGTGAAAACCCTTCAGTCTTTCACATGTTGAATTACAAATGTTGAGTGGTTAAAATGACAGGTGATTGCTTCTGAAAAAGAACCTGTTCGTTGGACAACTCCACTGGGTCTTCCAGTTTTGCAACCATATTTTAAAAGTCAAAGACATGTGGTAATTACTTTAGATATACGTCTGGTACTCAAAGCACAAGATGTCCCATTGAGTCCGATACTCCGATTCTATCTTAAATTTGTCTTAACAATGGAGAATCTTTCCTTACTGATAGGAACCTATTAGTATAATAGTAATAAAATAATGTTACATAGTTTGCTATTACGTTAAAGGGGTCTAGGCCTGATATTATTTAGATATGGGCCGGCCCGTAAACAAAGTATTATAAATAGGAGCTGGGAATAGAATAAAGGTTAGGCAGAAATTGGATTGGACTGGGACTTGGGAGAGACGAGGCACTCTCGAATTTGCCTCATCTGTATCGTTTCTGTTCAGTTTCAATAATTTCAGTTTTAGTATTCAACAATTCATCGCCATATATCTGTGTACTTATCAATGCTATCAGAGCATCAACGATCGCTGGAGACTGTTAAGCGTGCGCAGATGAACTTGGCAAGGGAAAAAGTTGCGACGAACTTGGCGATGGAAAAAGTTGCGATAAGAGAAGAAATGGAGCGTAGCAGGCTAGCAAATGAGGAAGCGTTGCTACAGATGAAAACAATGGCGGAAAACCTCAACAGAAAGCTAGCTGCGACGGAAGAACAATTCCAGACTAGACGACGATCGCGGTTGCCTAGAACGTCCCTCACTTCACAGAAGTCTTCGCCAACAACATCCTTCAGTTCGCATATGCGAACTATTTCTCCCAGATTGTCGCGAACTGCGCATGTTTCATCTAAATCGCGAGAAACTCCTTTTTCCAGTTCTCAGGTGTCTTCTCTCAGTCCGCATATTATGTCGCAAGTAGATGGTCCTGGTTCACAGTCGCACAGTCCAGTACATTCCAGAGGTAACTCCATTCATTCTAATGTCAACTATCATCATCATAGTGATGAACATACTAGAATACCTGAACGCACCGGCAGAAAAATAGATTTACCATTGTTTAACAGCGAGGGAGCCTATAACTGGATTATACAAATGGAGAAGTATTTTCGGTTAAATGACATTGAAGAGGAAGAGAAGGTTGAAGCTTCTAGGGTTGCAGTGGAAGATAGGGCTTTGAATTGGTTTCATTCGTGGGAGTACCGGACTGAAGAAACTAACTGGGACACTCTGAAGAAATCTATCATTCGTAGATTTCAACCTGAGTTGATTTCTTCTCACAGTTTGAAATCACGGACTTCATCATCCACCAGCAGTTCACGACCAAGTAAGACTCTATCGAGAGAAGCTTCCCGTTCGCAGATGTCATCGCAAACTGTTTCAACTTTGTCGCGAACAATAGCTTCCAGTTCTCAGATGTCGTCTCAGTCGCTGACATCGTTTCAACTGTCCCAGAGTTCAACGCTATCGTATATTTCCAGTTCGAAGGGGTCTTCTCTAGCCGCTCCTCATAGTTCACAGACTTCGCCCTTATCAGTTTTTTCCAGTTCGCAAATCGATTGCCCTTGCTCGCAGCTTTCATCTCAGGTTTCCGAGCATCACAGTGCTCAAGTTTCCTTGCCAGGGATTGCATCACTGAAAATGAACTCTGAGTTGAAGCCAAGGGAACCATCTATCAAGGAATCAGATCCCGATGATGATCCAAATCATCATGAAGGTACGAAACCCCCTGAGGTGGATGAAAATGGAATTCATTCGGGTAAAGTGAAGGATCAGCTGTCAAGGAAACTGGAGGAGCAGGGAAAAGTCACAGATAAAACTCAGGGAAGGAGGATTCAAACACTGGCGTGGAAATCAGATCAGGCTGTGATGACTACTGGGCCTGATGTTTTTGTCTTTCCAACTGGGTTCAATCCTTTAATGATGAACCATATTAAAAGGAGAGTCATACATACCCACATTCTCTGCTATCTATGGCATTCATTACACATTTAGGGAGATGAATGATGAGGATATTCAACCCACAGGACGTCCACCAGATAATCCGGAAAGGGCAGAAAATAAGAAGGCCGATGCCAGCTCACTTTCAAAACCTGCTTTGCTTGAAGAGATAGTTGCTGAAGTTGCAGAAGAAACTGAGAGAGTAGCAGAGAGGAATGTTATGAAGAAGTGTGCTACTTATGTTGATAGTAATGACCACACTCTTGTCGGTGAAGGCTCAGTTGGTCGAGCGGTGGGAAAAATTGGACGTAGACCAAGGTTCGAATCCCGCAGCGGCCAAAAGGGGGTTTTCAGAACCTGAAATAAGGCTGGCCCTCTGGTGCGCACGGGTAAAGGCCTACTGCCGCTTTGCCGACTGATTCACCGTGATTTACTCCCCCACCATCCTGTCGGGTCGGGGTGGGGGGCCCTTGGAGTTGGGGATTCAACCTTTTGGACGTTGTCGGTGAAGGCGTGATATTATTTCGGGGTGCCTTAGCAAAGAAAATGGTGGAGGATGATCCACAAACTAGTGCAATTGAAGGATCAGTTTCAGATGTCAAAGTTGGTATGGCTGTTAAGGGCTGCAATTTGGTACCTTCTGCAATTTGGGACTCATCTGGTTCCGGACTGAGGTTCAGCACCTTGTTGACTGAGCATTCAAAGCTTGCTATGTTGAGAAATGCTACAAACACTTTGTCAAACTTCTGTCGAGGCAACCTGTTCGGTGATCTCTTGTTATGCCCAGCTCCAAGAATGGCTATTGTATGCCTAGAAGGGCTAGAGAACATTCTGAAAGTAGGTAAGGCGGACAAAGAAAAGGGACTGAATGGTGGGGTCAATTTATATGCGCAAATGGGTGGCGTATATGGACTAGACAAGATGGTGAATCTCCAGATTCTGGACAACGAGACATATGAAAAGGCTGTGAAAATCTTAGAGAATAACAGGGCTGAGGAAGTGAGCATGATGAAGGTTCAGATGCTGAAGCTCGTGTTCCAGCTATGTGTGAGGTACTGGGAAGGAAGGGGTGCCAGGATGAAGGTGAAGTTGAAGATCAAGGCTGTTTCCTATCACCCACCTTGAGGACAAGGTGGTTGTCTAAGGGGGGAGATATGATAGGAACCTATTAGTATAATTATAATAAAATAATGTTACATAGTTTGCTATTACGTTAAAGGGGTCTAGGTCTGATATTATTTAGATATGGGCCGGCCCGTAAACAAAGTATTATAAATAGGAGCTGGGAATAGAATAAAGGTTAGGTAGAAATTGGATTGGACTGGGACTTGGGAGAGACGAGGCAATCTCAAATTTGCCTCATCTGTATCGTTTCTGTTCAGTTTCAATAATTTCAGTTTTAGTATTCAACAATTCATCGCCATATATCTGTGTACTTATCACTTACCTGACACGTTGCACTTAACCATTTGGTTATATGCATTTTCTTAAGATATTCAAGGCCATGCTATTCGAAGGATATTTTTTTTGACTACTTAATGCTGAACAATGGCTTTGCAGATAAGAACTTCTCTTCAGAGATTGGCTTTGAAGCGTCGTACTAACTCTGTATGTTTTATTTTTTATAAATGCAGCTTCCATGTTTTGTATTGTTTTCCTAGTGTAATTCTCTTCTCTTATTAGTATGAACTATATACCCCAAAATATATATAAATAAAAATGCCAGCCATTAACTACAACTCTCATCCATCATAGATTGATGTCAAGAAACAGAGAACCGCTTTTCCTCCAAACTTTGTGCACTCGCTCGATGGTTCACACATGATGATGACTGCCATTGCCTGCAGAGATGCAGGACTGCATTTCGCAGGTTCGTGTTCCCCTCCCAGTGCAGTTCTCATGCTTAGCTAATAAATTTCTCCTCTTTATGCAAAATACTAAGATGCCCTTCGTTAGATTTATGATAAAGATATGTGATAAGGAGAATATAATTTAAATTGATTGTGGAACTCATAAAAACGAATCTGTATTGGAACCTCGTAAATACTCCATAGTTGTATTTGCAAGTTGTCCCTTGTTCTACACTGCATCGCTAATTTAGCTGCACATCTGTCCAGATGAATCAACATCTTTGGGGTTCTGTTCTATAGTTAAGGTATGAGTGTGTGGTTAAAAGGAGTTTTGTGTATGTATTGCAGGGGTGCATGATTCCTTTTGGACACATGCTTGCGACGTTGACCAGATGAATCAAATACTAAGAGAGAAGTTTGTTGAGCTATACAGTACGCACCCAGTTCTTGAAAATGTAAGCATCTTAGGACTTGATTGGTGAATCAGATTTGACTGGATTAGATGGGTTAAATAAAAGAGTTCAGTCCAATGTTTGGTATTTTTTTGCCTGACCCAGAGATGTCCCAATTATCTTGTAACCCGACTACATGGGAGGGGGGTGGGGGGGTGGGGGTGTGGCTCTTTAAAACTAGTGTGCTACATTTGTCCCACCGGGTCTAGTTCCCACGAACTGCCAAACAAAAGAGAGGACCTAATGTTGGGCAAGTATGGAAACATGAAGTAGAGAAAGAATAGGGAAGGAAAGAAAGTAAAAGGAAGGTTATAATAGAGGGAGAGACTAGCCTAGGGTTTCATTAGACATCAAGTCATCAATATGTGTCATGTCAATGGAAATGGTGATTTTAATATATGTTTAAATCTCCAATAAAGAAGTATATGCGAAAGAGTCGAATTCCCAAGTCATTGACTTAATAAGACGTGTTTTCTTTGACTTAATCGGGTATCACAAGTAAAACCAAATCAGATCTGATCGGACCATACTTAAATAGGTCCAATCAGGCTAGATTTAAACAAACTAGACAAGTCCCGATCTAAATAGTTCAGACCAGTTCTATATAGACTAGACTTAAAAATATCAGAGCAAGCCAAGCAAATATAACCCAAGAGAACATGCTCTTAGATTTGGGGTTGCAGCCTATATTTCAATTGCAGGAGATGTAATAAAAACATACTACCTCCGTCCCGCTTAAAGGTTCCCATTGTAAAATGGCACGGTTATTTAGACAAAATTAAATGAGGTTATTCGAGTATGTTTTGAGAAATAGTTTTAATGGGTATATAATATAATGGGGTCATTGATGATAATTGTGATGTTGTGGATGTATTATTTTTAATATTAGATGATTAAGTTGTCATTTAAGAGTGTTAATTGTTTCCTAAAATAGAAATGAGAACCTTTATATGGGACATCCAAAAAATGAAAGTTAGAACCTTTGAATGGGACGGAGGGAGTAATTTACACTGCAAAGGTCAACACTGTGTGGGTTTGATAGATTCCCCCCAAATTTCAGAATTAAATCTATTTACTTTCTGTTTTGTTTTCATTTTTGTCCCCCCGCCTATACAGCTGCTTGAAAGTTTCCAGGCAGCATACCCAAAATTGAACTTCCCTCCTATACCAAAGCGAGGCGACTTTGATCTGCAAGAAGTTCTAAAGTCTCCGTATTTCTTCAACTGAACCATTCATTCATTACCATTGGTGAAGACCTGCAAGCAGCTATGGAGTAATTCTGTCATTCATCATACATGGCAAACATGCACAAGTCGCATAAGCTTCATTTGCCTGAGAATTTGTAGCTCTTGACCGGCACATGAGTTCTCATACATGGTATGAAAAGCCGTGCACAACAGAGTTTCCAACTTCATAACAGAGCTCCCATCACCTGTTCCTGATGTGAAGAGGGTGTGTTCTTTCATGCATGGTCTTGTCACTTTGGTCCCTTTCTGCACAAGAGTAGTCTGGCGAAATGAGCAACAGGACATGGTACATATTGCACTCTATGTATTTGGAAGCTCCACTTGAGTTGGATCTGTAAGACTGTAACATACATTTTGGGATCTCCGCTTGTCGATTGCAGAAATAGCTTGGAAAACAGCAGTTTCCCTGCAGTTCTACTCCTGAAGGCAACATTAAGTTCAGACCATTGCTACCACTATTTTGGGACTTTTTGAAGTGATAAATATAACGAGTGTAATATAGAGGGAACTGAGGAGAGACCATCTTCCTAAATGATGTCAAGGGGATGGTGTTTTGTAAATGTAATAAAGTGGGTCACACCATTATCTTTCATTCATTGTGCACGCATTGGCGGACCTACTAAGGGTCCCACGGGGTCCCGGGACCCCATGGACCTCCAAAAAATACATATATATATATTTGTATATATTTTACATAAAATTAAGTAATCAGTGTATTTATACAATTGAAACTGATTTAGAACACAAATATGGAGCTAGAGCAGCAGTTGGAAGCTCAATCTTGAGATTCTCTACGTGTGGGAGGTTGAAGGATCGATTCCTTTGGGAGTCATCTTTTTGAAAATGAAATTATGGAACAACTTAGTCCACCTATTGTTATCATGCACCTCTATAGTCCCACTTTTATTCTAATTTTCTCATCCTATACCCAATTTTTTTCATAACAAATACTACTATAAAGCCAATATGTATCCCCAAATTTAAGCTTATCTATTTTATAAACTAATTTCATGATGAAACACGTAATTTTTGAATTCACGCACTGAATTTGTAATAATTAAAATAAGCAAGTTAAAATCATTTTTTCGGTGAGATGACTAAAGTTACCGTAAGAGCATCATCTTAGCCACTTTTTCATATGATTTTTTTTCATATCTTATAACATACTATCCTCCGTATCACATTATTTACAACATTGAAATATATACACTATTCATATACTTTACTTTGACTACATTTTATTTATTAATGTATGTCATTTTTTTTTGAAAAATATTGTAAAATCCATCTCATTACCAAGTCTTATAATCTGATTTTTATTTTATTTTTACTAATACAGAATTAAATAGACGGTCAAAGTTGTGCGCTGGCAAACGTGAAATGTTGACTGTTGCAACTAAAAAGAGACGGAGGAAGTATAATTTAAATCTCATTATTTCCTAATATAGCAGTTTGAGTCGCTTGAGCCATTATCGCATAATTTGGCTTGATGTGGTTTGATCTAAGACTAAAATCAGCCCAACAACAAAGTCCTTAAAGTTACACTAATAAATTGGTAATTGTATTAAATTAAAATAGAAAAAAGCTAACGAATATATTTTAAATAAAAATCCAAATAAAATAATGTGAGGTAATTGGATCGAAATTTTCAAATGTAGGCTTTTTAAATTTGATTTCTCATATGCATGCCCATTATTTTTAGTTGATAGAGGAGTGACTCTGTTTTCGGCTTCTCACGCTTATCAACCAACTTTTTAATCAAACATGTAACTTTTGATTTTGCGTGCTGAATTATGTAATAATAAGAAAAATAAGGTTGAAGTTACTTTTCATGTTGTATTGACTGCAGTTGTTGTAGATGACCATTTTATCTATTTTTCATATTATTTCTTCTTTATTTTATTAATATAATATATTTTAAATATAATTTTTCATAATCAGCAGAAACAGTCAATACAACCACTTCAGTCAGAACTTCATAAATTTCAGCAGAATCAGCCGATTCAGCCGATTTCAGTGTTACCAAACAGGTTCTAGTTGATAGTAGACATTTCTTTAAAATTGTTGTATACGTTATGTTAACTATGAAATGTTATGCTATTTTAATATTTTACTTCTTTTTATTAATTTTTTATTGATTAGAGTTATATTACGGTAGGGACCCCGTGATTCTGAGTTTCTGGGTCCGCCACTGTGCACGTTTCAATGATTTTATGCCCAATATAACATAAAAATACGGAGTACCAAATTTCAAGAATTACTCCCTCCCGATTAGGGATAGAAAGTACATGTCAGTATGCGAAACTCTAATGGGGTGTGACGAGCATCAAAGTTATTGGAGTTGGTTCTGGTCTATGTCTTGTTTAGGTGGTCAAGTCTGGCCCAAAACCTGGTCAGAAGCCTGTGAGAAAAAGTAGGAAACGTTTGGTAATACTGCATATTTTATTATTAATGTAGCAATGTTCTATTTTCACAGTTTTTGTTTTTGTTTTATTTGGTTCTAAATTTCAGAATAATGAAATATATTTGAAATACTTAGACCATGTTCAAATAGAAAAGTGTATTCTCAAAGATAATGAAACAAAAAAATCACTCTCAATAATCTTAAAAAATCATAGCCTGTTCTCAGATATTAAAAAATAGAAAACATAGTGCTACATTTGTTTCACTAAAATTGAGACATGAGGATGTGGTGCGATTATTATGAAAAGTGAGTTTATGTGGTTGATATTAATTTGATAAAGTAAGAATAAATTAAGAATGATTTAGAATCTTATAAATTTTATCAAATTTTGTACGGACAATCTTAGTTAGGGATGGACCGGTTCGGGCCCGACCGGGCCTCGGTTCATGAAGAGGGAGGCCCGGAATCGGCCTGGTTAACCCCCGTGTCCGGGCTGGGCTGGGCCTCGATTCTATTTTTTTTTGGCTTTTCCTAGTTAACCCCCAACCCTCCCCCTCACCCCCAAACCAACCCTAACCACCTAAAATGGCCCAAAATACCTAGCCCAACCCAAAAACTTAAAAAAAAAATTCAAAAATAATAATAATAATAAATTGGCCCGACTCGGGTCCGAACCGGCCGGGTCGGTTCACCTTTTGAAGGGCTCGAGCCTGAACCGCCTTCCCACCGCGCCGGGTGGCCCGAACCGGGCAACCAACTGGTTCACCTGGCCAGTCCGGGCCCGCATAGTAGCGGGCCGGTTGGCCCGGCCCGAGTCCACTCCTAATCTTAGTTGGACATATTGAAAAAGAAAGACAATCTTAACGGTACGAAAGGAGTTTTATTGAATGACATCTAAGCATGTCACCAATTGCACAAGTGCCCCTACTCATCTTGGACTCTTGGAGGCCTATAATTTTTTATGCTACATATAGAGAGTGGTGTTATCTAATTAAATGCTAATTAAGAATTTAATTGAACAAGTCATATACTTTATTTGGTTGAGCTTCTTCACTTGTATAGTTATGATTCAGGGATTTCATCAAAGATAATCAATACAAGCAGTTTGGTGATTTTCTAGTGTTTCACTAATCACTATCCAATGTAATTGTCTTTTTTCACTGTCCAAAAAAAGAAAGTTGGCAAAGTTTTAAGGGACGGAAGGAGTATTACATTTGTGTCAGGTAAAGTTTTTTGTCTACTATTTTACGGTCAACGTAAATTGTTCTTAATTATTTACTATATATATATATATATATATATATATATATATATATATATATATTCAACTTTTATCAAATTTGAGTTCTTTTGCAGGTTTATAAAACTTTTAATATATGTGTTGAATATGTAAATTTTATTTACTAAAAATAATGTTATTATTAATAGGGTTAATTTAACTTTATGATTTTACCCAAGACGAAGGAAGTAAATTTAATCATATTTTGTAAATAAATTTTATTTCTGTAATAATTTCTAAATAATCTCATATGATGATAGGGCCGGCCCTGGTGGTGTGCAGGGTGTCCAACCGCACAGGGCCCAAAAAATTGGAAGGGCCCAATTTTTTTGTAGTAGTATACTACTATCTCCGTCCCGCTATGATTGTCTCATTTTACCATATCGGTCCGTCCCATTAAGATTGTATCATACCAAATTTGGTAAAGTTTGTGTGGTTCTAAATCATTCTTACTTTATCAATTCAATATCAACTAGGGCAAGGCTTTGAAGCAAGCCTGGTTCGTCACTTCGCGTATTCCTCATCTACAAAGGAGGAGCGTGTATATAGGAACGAAGGAGTAGTAAATCCTCCGTTTCCACCGATGTGGGAATCTTAAGCTTTAGAAACAAAAAAGAAAAGAAGCGAGACATGCAGAATTTGAACCCAAGTGAAAATAAAAGCATGCACGCTGATTTCTAAACATCATCCACCGGACCAAAACAACTAATTGTTGAAATACGGACGTACAAGTTTTATAATACCTATTTGTTTTACAAAATAAATAATTAAAATACCTCTTAATAAAAATCAGTTCGGTTCGGTTTGAACCAATTTTATAACTCAAAAAACCTTCATTAAACTGATTTATGTTCGAGTCCCGACTTTCGGGTCCCGTTTGTGTCGGTGCGGTTTCGGTTCAGTTTTTTTAACGTGTGTTGAAACTTTAAAAAGAAGACCCAATTATTATTTTTGCACAGGGCCTTCATTTTCTCAGGACCGACCCTGGGAGTAATGTACAACTTTACGTTATCTATGTTTTTTTTTTTGAAAAAAACTCTAACGTGACCCAGCTGTAACAGAACCAAACCCTTTCAAAAAATAATGGCTTTACATAATTGAAATCGGCTGCCAAAATAGTTGAACCATCACAATCTTTGTTTGAGGAAAAAAGGAACTTTGTTTTAACAGTTGAAAGTTACTTTCGATTTACAAATGTCGGTTACTGTGGTGCTGTATTATAGTACTTCTCTTAAAACTTTGGAGGAAAACTTTCTTTTTTTAGATTTCTGACTAACTTTGTCACTCTCCTTTTTAAGTAAAGAATTTGTGATTCTGATTAATTCTCTGTTCTCTGTACAAATCTCAACCACATGGTTTTTACTTTATTAGTCCCCGTGTCCGTCAAACTTGACAAAGTTTCCGGGGAAGGAGGGAGGGAGAGAGTACTGGCAGTTGAGGGATGGGACAAAGAACAACGCTGTATCATTATCATCTTATCATTATTGCGCATCGGATCCACCACAGCCAGCATTGCATCAGCCGCCCAGATTGCCTCTCTTGTTCTCTGCCCAAATTTCGTTCTGTGTAAACAAAACAACAATCGGAAAAAATGGTTTTGATCCTTCAGAAGTTATTATTCGGGCAGCGACACAGTTCTGGGCTTCCAAGTTCCAGCATCACATTCTAAAAAGAGATTTTTAACCCCACAATACATTCAGCTCGTGGAATAATTCCAATTCCGTCGGTGCTTCTTCTCCGCTTCCTCACCTTTCTGAAGAGCAAGTTAATTTAACTCTATGTAACGACGGTAGTAGTACTCCGCGGAGATTCAAGATCGTAGAGAGATAGAGAGCCTGCGTGCGCAAAAGAGGGGGTTGATACCGAGCTTTCTCTCACCGACGCGCTGCATGGGCCAAGACGGCGTTTTTTCAGCTCAGAAGAGAGCTGGAGCTCTGCCCACCACCGCCGCAGACGCTGAGGTCGCCGTTAATGGAGATGCTAGAAGTCGAGCTAGCCCTCCGGTCCCGAGAGGGCGGCAGATCCAGCGGACCTGCAACAACATCAAGATCACAATTCTCTGCGGCTTTGTTACCATTCTCGTCCTTCGAGGGACAATCGGAGTTGGAAACCTAGCTTCATCAGAGGCGGACCTCGAGAACTCAAATCTTATCGACGAGACTAACCGGATTCTAGACGAGATCCGGTCTGATAAGGACCCAGACGACCAGGATGAGAGTTTCTTCAGCCCAAACGAGACATTCTCCCTTGGACCCATTATCACTGGATGGGATGAGCAGCGAAAGGTATGGTTCCAGAGATATCCCGGATTTCCCAACACAGTAAATGGAAAACCTCGAGTGTTGCTTGTTACAGGCTCTCCTCCCACCCCGTGTGAAAACCCAGTTGGGGATCATTACTTGTTGAAGGGTGTGAAGAATAAAATTGATTACTGTAGGATACATGGGATCGAGATTGTGTATAATTCAGCCAATATGGATAGGGAAATGGCAGGTCCCTGGGCCAAACTGCCTCTGATTAGGAGGCTAATGCTTTCTCATCCTGAAGTCGAGTGGATTTGGTGGATGGACAGTGATGCTTTCTTCACTGATATGGCTTTTGAGATCCCACTGTCTAAATACAATGCTCACAATCTTGTTATTCACGGATACCATGATTTGATCTTTGATCAGAAGTCTTGGACTGCATTGAGTACGGGTAGTTTTCTAATTAGGAATTGCCAGTGGGCACTAGATCTGCTGGATGCTTGGGCTCCAATGGGGCCGAAAGGGCCTATCCGTGAGGAGGCTGGGAAGATTCTAACGGCTAATTTAAAGGGAAGACCAGCATCTGAAGCCGATGATCAATCTGCCCTGATATATCTGTTCTTGTTGAATAAAGAACAGTGGATGAACAAAGTATTTCTTGAGAACTCGTACTATTTGCATGGATATTGGGCAGGATTGGTGGATAGGTATGAGGAGGTGATGGAGAAGTACCATCCTGGGTTTGGTGATGAGAGATGGCCATTTGTTACACATTTTGTTGGATGCAGAGCGTGTGGGAGCTTTGGAGATTTCCCTGTTGAGAAATGTGTGAAAAGCATGGAAAGAGCTTTCAATTTTGCCGACAATCAAGTTCTTAACTTGTATGGATTTAAGCATAGGGGCTTGTTGAGCCCCAACATCAAGAGGATCCGGAATGAAACTACAGCTCCTCTGCGGAATGTAGATCAGTATGATTTTCGACATGCAAAACGTGAAAGCTAAGACTCACCATCTTCAAGTGACATGGATATGTAGGTAATGGGGAAATCCTTTTACTTCTGTATTTTCTTATGACTGTAGATTGAGTTCTATATCTATTCCTGGTATGAAATAGCAATTGCACTAGATTGGGGTTCAACATACATAATATTCTCAAATACGGCCACTTTTCTCCTCAAAATACAAGTTATTCAATCCTTAAAAAATAATGATTTTTTTTAGTGAATGGCTCCTATTTTGAGAAAAAAAACTATTCTGGTCCTAAATCAGATAATGGTATACGTGTTAACCCTATTCTTTATATGCTTACTGTAGAAAAATGTAGCATATTCATGTTATTTTATTATGTGTACACCCGGGACTGTATAGATAGGAAGTAGAGTTGATTTAGGACTCTAACTCTTAGATTAACACGCAGTGTAGATAAGAATAGATAGATCCTAAATATTAGGATCTGTAACAAACCTTAGCTTATCTGTAATTTTGTATTTATATCATTGCCGGATGGCTCAATAATACATGGAAGATTAATTCTTCAAACCTACATGGTATCAGAGATTCGGTTTAAACAATGGTAGAAACCAGTGAAGCTGATTCCTCACACACTACCAACCCTAACTCCCAAATTAGCTCTATGACAAATTACCAGTCTCCTATTCATTCATCTATGATAATCACTAGTCATAGATTGAATGGAACAAACTATCTGGAGTGGTCTCAATCTGTCAGACTTGCAATTGATGGGAGGGGAAAGCTGGGTTACATCACAGGAGAAATCCAACCAAAAATACAAGCAGAAGGAGGGTACAGTACATGGAGGTCAGAGAATTCACTCATAACAGCTTGGCTTCTCAACTCCATGGAGCCCCTAATTGCCAAACCTCATATGTTTATGAAAACTGCAAAGGAGGTATGGGATTCTATTAAGGAAACTTATTCAGACCTTGAGAACTCTTCTCAAATTTTTGAACTCAAAATCAAATTGTGGCAATCTAAACAAGGAAATAGGGATATTATTTCATACTACAATGAAATGGTATCTCTGTGGCAAGAATTAGATCAATGCTATGATGATGAAGAGTGGGAGAGTGCTAAGGATCTGGCCAGACATAAGAAAAAAGAAGAGAATGATAGGGTCTATATGTTTCTAGCAGGGATCAATAGGGACCTAGATGAAGTTAAGGGGAGGATACTTGGAAAAAAACCTCTACCTTCTATCAGGGAGGTATTTTCTGAAATCAGGATGGAGGATAGCAGGAAGAAGGTCATGTACAACACCCCAGCACCTAATGAGGAACCTGGGGAATCTTCAGCTTTGGTGGCCAGAAGTTATGACAACAAGAAAAAACCTTGGTGTGATCACTGCAAGAAACTGTGGCACACAAGGGATACATGCTGGAAACTCCATGGAAAACCACCAGGAGCTGGGAAAAAGAAAGTAGAAAGGGCCCTACAAACTACTGTGACTGAGACTCAACAAGAGGCAGGAGTTGAACCTAAACAGCTACCATTCACTCAGGAACAGATAGAGTACCTACTCAGATTCATACCTACCCAGAAAATCTCCAATCCTGAAAACCCTACCTGTTCTTTTGCCCAGAATGGTAAAATAACATCATATTTTTGTTCTGAAAAAACTAAAAACACCTGGGTCATTGACTCAGGTGCAACAGACCACATGACCTATATTCCAAAGTTTTTTTCTTCTTATCAACCTTGTGCAGGAGATAAAAAAGTTAGAGTTGCAGATGGCTCTTTCTCAGCCATAGCAGGGATGGGAAATATTAAAATTTCCTCATCCATTAACCTTTCCAAAGTCTTACATGTTCCTAAACTTTCCTGCAATCTTATATCTATTAGCAAAATTACTAAAGATCTTCAGTGTTGTGTAAAATTTTTTCCCTCTTATTGCATTTTTCAGGATCTGGCATCAGGGAAGATGATTGGCAGTGCTAGAGAGGAAGATGGCCTCTATACTTTTGATGAAGGAACACAATTGAATAAACAAGGTCAAGAAAAAACTTGTTTGCAAACTGTTTTTCCTTGTAATAATGAAGTGTACCTAATGCACTATAGATTAGGTCACCCAAGTTTTTCCTACTTGAAAATGTTGTTTCCTAAGTTATTTCTTAATAAAAATCCTTCATCATTTCATTGTGATATGTGTGCACTTGCCAAACATCATAGGAGTTCTTACATCCCTCATAGTTACAAACCAACTAGTCCTTTCACTATTGTACACAGTGATATCTGGGGTGCATCTAGAGTTTCAACTCTGAAAGGAAAAAGGTGGTTTGTAACTATCATAGATGATCACACAAGGGTCACATGGGTGTTTTTACTTAAAGAAAAATCTGAGATTGAAGAGGTGTTCAAACAATTTTACTCAATGATTCAAACTCAATTCAACACTAATATCAAAAATTGTGAGAAGTGATAATGGACTTGAGTATTTTTCTAAGAAGTTAAATACTTTTTTTGCTGAAAAAGGGATTGTTCATCAAAGTTCCTGTGTAAATACTCCTGCTCAGAATGGAATAGCTGAGAGGAAAAATAGACATTTACTTGAAGTTACTCGTGCAATAATGTTTTCTGCCAAAATTCCAAAATATTTATGGGGAGAAGCTGTTTTACATGCTACCTATCTAATTAATAGGATGCCATAAAAAACTCTAGGATTCAAAACTCCTATCGATACTCTTCAAGCTTGTTTTCCTGAAACTAGACTAATTAACTCTCTTCCCATAAAAATTTTTGGGTGCACAGTTTTTATTACCAATCCTGACAGAATTGCAAGTAAATTTGACCCTAAAGGAAAAAAATGTGTTTTCTTAGGACTCTCTTCAACTCAGAAAGGCTATAAATGTTTTGACCCTATAACAAAAAAGATGTTTATAACTATGAACATTGTTTTTGTAGAAGATCAACCTTTTTTTGGTACTCATCTTCAGGGGGAGATTCCTAATGAAGATGGTAATAATGTATCACATATCCGTGAAAAACTAGAACCTCTTGACATTAATCTAGATGCACAGTATAATAGACAGTTAGATGCACTAGAAAATAGTCAAGAGTCAAAAGAAAATGAATTTTTTTTTCTGAAACAAGGAAAGATGATGAACAGCAGATAAGTAAGTTTTTTGGCAAGGTTTATGAAAGGAAAGTTCCAAATCACAGAATAGAGGACATCCCTGATCCTGCCACTGTCAATGAATCTGACTCAATGCCAGAAAATGACAAAGGTAATAATTTCAGTGATCTAAATCTACCCATTGCTCTCAGAAAAGAAAAAAGGTCATGTGTTAAATACCCTATCTCAAACTATGTGTCCTATTCTCAGTTATCTACATCATTTGCAGCTTTTACCTCTAGCCTTTCCAGTGTCTCTATTCCCTTAACCATACAGGAAGCCCTATCTATACCTGAGTGGAAGAAGGCTGTTTTAGAAGAAATGAATGCCCTTGAAAAGAATCAGACATGGCAGACTGTAGAGGTACCCAAAAATAAACCAAGGGTTGGATGCAAATGGGTGTTTACTCCTAAATTCAAGGCAGATGGTACACTTGAAAGATATAAGGCCAGACTGGTTGCCAAAGGATACACACAAACCTATGGCATAGATTATACAGAAACTTTTGCACCAGTTGCAAAATTAAATACTATAAGGATTCTACTATCTCTAGCTTCTAACCTAGACTGGCCTCTTCAACAGTTAGATGTGAAGAATGCTTTCCTAAATGGGAAGCTTGAAGAGGAAGTATACATGAGCCCTCCTCCTGGGTTTGAGGAACAATATGGCTCAAAGGTGTGCAAGCTAGAGAAAGCCTTATATGGGCTTAAACAGTCCCCAAGGGCTTGGTTTGAAAGGTTTACTCAGTTCATAAAGAAGCAAGGATTCAAACAAGCCCAAGCAGATCATACACTATTCATGAAATTCTCCATCAAGGGAGAAATTGCAGTACTAATTGTTTATGTGGATGATATAATTCTTACAGGAAACTATTGTGAAGAGATTGAAGACCTGAAGAAGAAGCTTGCTCAGGAATTTGAAATCAAAGACCTGGGAGAATTGAAGTATTTTCTTGGCATGGAGATAGCCAGATCAAAGAAGGGAATTGTGGTATCCCAAAGGAAGTATGTACTAGACCTACTTCATGAAACAGGTATGAGTGCATGCAGACCAATAGATACTCCAATTGACCCTAATCAGAAGTTAGGAAATGTCAAGGAAGGAGTACCAGTTAATATTCACCAATATCAAAGATTGGTGGGAAGGTTGATTTATCTGGCACATACAAGGCCAGATATTGCCTTTGCAGTCAGTATGGTTAGTCAGTTCATGCATAATCCATTCCAAGAACATCTAGATGCTACCTACAAGATCCTAAGATATTTGAAAAGTTGTCCAGGGAAAGGATTAATTTTTAAAAGAAGTGACAATAGAAGTGTAGAAGCCTTTACAGATGCAGATTATGCTGGGTCAATAACTGATAGAAGGTCTACATCTGGATATTGTACTTATGTATGGGGGAATCTGGTGACTTGGAGGAGTAAGAAGCAGAATGTTGTTGCCAGAAGTAGTGCAGAATCTGAATTTAGATCTATGGCTAATGGAATCTGTGAGCTACTTTGGATCATGAGAATGATGACAGAGTTGAATATGGAAATGAACCTACCTATGAAATTATATTGTGACAATAAAGCAGCCATTAATATTGCTCACAATCCTGTGCTACATGATCGTACTAAACACATTGAGGTGGACAGGCATTTTATCAAAGAGAAGATTGAAGCTGGAATTGTATGCACACCATTCATATCTACTAAAGAGCAGACAGCTGATATCTTTACAAAGGGGCTGTTTAAACCAGTGTTTGAGTTTCTTATAAGCAAGTTGGGAATGTATGATATATACTTACCAACTTGAGGGGGAGTGTAGAAAAATGTAGCATATTCATGTTATTTTATTATGTGTACATCCGGGACTGTATAGATAGGAAGTAGAGTTGATTTAGGACTCTAACTCTTAGATTAACACGCAGTGTAGATAAGAATAGATAGATCCTAAATATTAGGATCTGTAACAAACCTTAGCTTATCTGTAATTTTGTATTTATATCATTGCCGGATGGCTCAATAATACATGGAAGATTAATTCTTCAAACCTACACTTACCTTTTTTTGTCACCTTCAAGAAGTTACAAGTTCAACTAGGACCTGTGATTAGTTTTCCATTACATTACCTTGTTGGCTTATCCTTTCACCTGCTCGACCTTACGTGAGTCCTGATGTGCAGTATTGTTCAGTATATTACCTTATTTGCACTTAACCTTATTTGCTGCCTCTTGTTCATATAAATCCATTAATGTATTCCTTTCAGGCTCCAGCTAGCTTTATTCTTTGATTCTTCATTAATAAAACATTTTGGCTTGTAGAGATATTTTTATATTCGTGCTCTGCTGTATTTTTCTGTCTTAGAATCCAGAAAATATAGTGTACTAGTGGTATGCACTCGTATATATTGTGTGTTCACTATGTTCCCTCTTACCAGTTACCACCACTTCTAGATTACACCTGATGTTTTTCATGATTTAGATTGTGTACTATGGTTTGTGGTAGACGAAACAGAGATTTTTTTGAAGAATGTCTAATATGCTTTGTTTATAAGGTTTTGTTTATAATTCATTAACATTTTGAATTTGTTAGCTGACCACAAAATCTTTTGGGATTAAGGCTTGGATGTTGTTGTGATTTTGAATTTGTGCTTGTTACGAGCTAAACGGGGAAAATCTCTGTTATTGCTGTTAACATCGTGACCATGGGTTGTGGTAAATGAAACTGAGATTTTTTTGAAGAATGTCCGATATGCATTGTTTATAAGTTTTTGTTTATAATTCATTAACATTTTGATTTTTTGGTTGTTACAAGCTAAAACGGGGAAAATATCTGTTATTGCTGTTTTCCTTGCATTCCTTTTTTAGGTTTTTGCCTATTAAGTTCTCAAGGCACTTCGGGGTTGGGTCTTGTCATATCTAATTATTCTTGGAATTTTATTGAACATTTGAACAACAAATATGAAATATGTCAAGACAATTTAAGTAGGTCTCTTGAAGCGTTCGGACTACATCTATTACTAAAAGTCTTAGTTATTACATAAATTCTTAGATATGGTTTTGTTGGGGATAACATGAAATGTAATGTAATCAAATATGTTTTTAGTGTAAGAATTACATTAAGTGCACATTTGATTACATTACATCACGTCTTATGAAACAACACCTTAAAATTCAGTTCAGTCACATCCCTTCCATTAAGTAGATGTTAGGTGCTATTGTTTCATGACTGACAACTATGATCCTGAACAACTTCCAATCATAATGTGAAAAAGGGGGGAACACTCTCTCCTCCATCTCTTTCTATCTCTTTCTTTTTAATGCACTTGTTTGCCTTAATGACATTTTTGCCTTTATGCTATCTAGGAAAGAGTATTTCATGGTTATGTGGCTGCTTTAATTCAATATATCCTCTTTCCATCCTGTCATGAATTTATCTGGTTGCAAAGAGATGGATGCCATAAAATTTTATACTCCGTAAAAATGAAGAAGAAAAAACGGGCTTTTGTTTTTACCTTTCTTATATACTGTATAGAAGAAGAAATGGGCTTTTGTTTTTTCCTTAGATCAGAGATTAGAAAGGATGGCTGCGAGTCTTTGATTGTGGATGTTTTCTTCTTTCTCATATAAGCATCTGAAAGTGTATCCAAAAAAATATAAGCATCTGAAAGTTTGATAACTTTCATCATTTGAAACGGAGCCAAAGATTCATCATTTTTTGGCTTGAGATTATGATGGAATAAAGCAAAATGGCTCACTAAACTGTCTGCGCTTCTTTGTTATGAAGCAGCAGTCAGTCTATGCAATTTTGGACGCGATTTTCACTATGGGTCATCCGGAAACAGTCTCTCTATTCTTTTAGTACAGGGGTAAGACTGCGTACATCCGACCCCCCCTTACCCCACCGTAGGTGGGAGCCTTTGCGGCACTGGGGTAAATGAAAATGAAAAAAAATGATCTGAAAGTTTGATAACTCCTAAACCCAACTGTTTCCTTTGCAGTGTATATATGGGGCTCTAGGTGCTGCTGATCAATGTTCGTATCTGTCCACTGACATTTTGAACCATTTGGCATGAGGACCAACTATGTCCGCTTGTTGTTGTACCTGTTACCACTACCAATTCCCAGAGTTATACCGCAGTACTCATCCTTTTTCTATATCCCACATAAAAGAAGCTTTGGGTAAGCATTACTTTTTCAGCAGCATTTTCAAGCTCTCATTTTCGAAGATGGTACAGAATTCTGAAATGTATGGAAGGTTTTGGGCTTCTAATTGCCACACTCAATGTCTGTTATGGCATCATTACTCCTTAGAGCATCATTACTTCTTAGAATATGGTGTGGATAATTTCAAGTTTGATTTCATTTGAGGCGTGGTTAAAAGCGGACAAACACTTGTAATTTCTTTTTATTAATTATCATTATTTATTTCCCTAAAACTTCACGTGTTTCATTTCTGGCTTAAGGCTAAACTCTCAGAGTATCCATGTGGGGATGCCAACTCTCTGCTTGCACTTCCAAGCAGGTCGGCTCTCGTGCTCTTCAAGCAAGCCCCCCCCCCCCCCCCCCCCCCCCCCCACTGGGAATTTATTTTTTGCCAGTATGCTAATTTTTCCTTTCTTTTCCCGATCTTTAAACAAATCTTTGTAAGCGGCGTGACGGTTTTGTTTATATTGTGAATGTCTGAACTTGATATACATCTTTTACATCCTGTATCCCATATAAATCTTGATAGTGGTTTCTGAAACGTTTATAGGAAAAAGAAATTGCGCTTTTGATTTACATAAAATTGATACAACAGAAAAAGGGGATTATGTTAAAGAAAAACCATCTCAAATCTCATGAAGGCTGACTGCTGAAGCTCCCTTTATATTTATTATCACATCATTATGATTTACACTTGGACCGACGAGGAAGAAAAGGGCCCTCGCTGCTATGGAGATTTCTCTAAAATTTACCTTTTCAATTTTCTTTTACTAAAATTGATGTTTATATCACATGCAAGCCGTCCCAAACATTTTTTATTCCCTTATGTACAGTACAAGTAAGTGGAATGCAAGTCGCACATATATTTTAATTGCCAAATGTTTTTTGAGTTTCAATCTTTTGTGTAAAAAAATGTTAAATACTATTGGACTTGGAACAACATGGACAACTCCCTCCGTTTCGGTGTAAGTTTCTCATTAGCCCAGCCTTCTTTTGATGGAAGTTAATGCTCTTTATTCCTATTTCAGGAAATAATTATTCTGTGTATTAATTAGCACTACTTCTTTTGGTGCACGTATAACATCATAATTATCATCAATAACTTCATTCATTATGCATGCTATATACCTATCAAAATTACTTCCGTAAATATATATTCAATTTAGTTGTTGTCGTGTCATTTTTCAATCAGAAGTTGGACGGATGTAACATATATTATGAACTTTTAATACGGGCTATTAATTATGTGTTGTCCTAAATCTTTTTTTATTATTCAAAAACATCTCATATCCCCGGTCTTTCCTCTCTATAAACTAATCATTCATACGCTTTATTTTCGGGATGGTACCTTTTCATTTCCTAAATCAATGTACTATTCGTGACTCCTATTTCTACTTTCCCGACTTTGTGCAACTATGTGAATGATTAGAGAGATAAGTTTGTCACCTTTGCTAGCTACTTACTTAATTGGCTGTGTCTAATTGATTTCATGACACTTTTAAGTATGAATGGCCAATGGACAATGGTAGGACATGAGGTTGGTTATATTCTACAATTTTCTCGACCAACGGAACGGAAGTGGCTAGTAAATAATTAAATATATTTGTAAAATATTCTACACTTACATCCAATAATCGGTAATCTTTAGATGTGAATGACAAAGTTGACAACCAATATAATATATGGAATTGTTGGTTTACAATTGAGTTTCATTCCATCCAAAACCTTTGCATTTAGCTTAATTTTCAGTCTCTTGTACGTAGTTGCTTTACAAATTAGTTACACTCCATTCAAAACTTTTACATTTAGGCCTTTAGCTTAATTTTCACTTTCATCCGTCTCGTTCAAATTCTCACTTTCCTTTTTTAAATGTTCCACCTAATTTTCTATTTTAGGAAATAATTAACACTCTTAAATAACAATTTAATCATCAAATATTAAAAATAATACATTTATAACATAACAGTTATCATCAATAACTCATTATATTATATGCCATCAAAACTATTTCTCAAAATATACTCGAATTAGTACTTGGTTCACACTTGCAAATGTTAATGCTTTAGTCTCTCCTTCTCAAGCCTGCAAACCTCGATGCTAAATCAAACATTCATACAAATTTGTTTTTGCATCTTACATTTTCTGGTTTTCCATATTTTTATTCTTTTGTTCTGTATATTATCCAAGCATAATGCACCATACATCACCATGCACTCATTTTCCCTGGTTCCCCCTCAATTTATTCACATAATTGTTTTGCTAGTTGCTTGCGCTTGACAGCAGGCAAACACACTAACATGAAGACACATGAGTTTCTACTAATGTTATATTCCATTCACCGTCAAAATCTAATTTTGTAGTACTTCATCTGTATACACATGTAAATGTATTTTCTAGAAACAATTGAGACGCGTTTGTTATACCATCTTCTATATGGGATAAACACACTGGTTTGCAGGAGCAAGTTTTCTCATTGCAACAATGCAACCAAAGTGGATCCCCCTCCCCTCCTTATGAAAGGGTAATTGTCATAGATTCGTTGCTCGAAAATACATCTTGTCAGGTTTGTGGCGATTTCTTGTACATCAAATGTAATGATCTCTTGTTAGGGGGTAAATCCATATTTACTAGATTTAGTAGGTGAGTATGCAAAACATAACATTCTCATCAACTAGAGAGTGTTCATTGATATCAGTTTGGACTTCAGAGTTGGGCCAGTGAAGAAGCAAGCCAGACAGTGAAGTACCAAAACTTAAGGGAGGAATCCTTGGTCAATAAATTGCACAATTTTCCGAGTGACTATAAATTATGGAGACATTGAAATTTTTATTTGTCAGTAACAACTACAAATTGAGGGAAATAAATTTAATTAAGATTAGTACATGATAGATTAGCTCAGATTTTTAATATCCTATTTGACACCCCTTAGGTGAATTTGGGGATTCAAGAAATAACTACTAATCTGAGTAGAAAGAAATAGACTCGATGGGAAAAGAAAGTGTTTTTGGTGTACTTTACAGAAACCAAGCGGAAATCAATGGCTTACTTCATCTTTTTATAAATATGGGCACAAACGGGAAAATTTTGTATTAATAAATTAATTGATAAAAAATTGCAACTAGCAAAGAAGAGGAATCTAACCTGTGACCTATCTTTTACAAAGCTACACTAACATTTCCTATCTTTCTATATATCCTTGCCTAATCCTGACTTCTGTACAAAGAATTGCACGACCGTTCCCATCAAAATTTTGCCTATGAAAAGGGACCTCTCCTATTTTACAATGAAAGAATATGTCACCTGTTGGGTACAAGGCCCGGCATTGTACATGGTTCATTCTATGTTCTGGTCCTCTAGCATGTTTTACAGTTTTGATGGAAATACCTCTGGTGCTGATTGCTGAAGGATGAAAATCATCGCAAACCCTGTGGCCGCTCATGAAATGCATCTCCAGATGTGTTTTTGACTGGAATACGATCTGTATGATAATGTAGAGAATCTCTCCCAATGAGACAAGATTCAGGTGTCTTTTTAGTCTGTAAAACCCATTGGACAGTCCAAACAACACACCTACTAACCCTTCAGCTTTCTGTGTAGAGCTAGAGCTGTCCATCCTGTATCATATTCACAACCCCTCGATAATGCCCTTTCTTTACATACCACAAAATCCAGAGGGCTTGCATGGTTCACAATGAGAATCTGCACGCCCTGAAGATGGACCAAGCACATCATAAGGATAAATTTCACAAGTGTGAAGTAATTCAATCGGTTTGAGTCTCTGTGTGGTTGGTTTCTTTCGCGTTCTCTGTCTCAGCCTCCTTCTGAGCTTTTTTCTTTTCAAGCTCAGCCTGTTTCAAATTCTCCTCATGGGATTTCTGGAACAACCTTGTGAAGTTTAACAGGGTCGTAGCAACTGCATAAATCATCATCATATAAGGATAAGAAGACAAGCAAAAGAGCACAACATTCTGAATGTCTGATGACACCTAATGAGCAGCTAGACCAGGAAGCAGTAAATGAAACACAAGAGCATCAAACTATTCTATGATGCATGAAAAATTGTCTTCACTCTTTTCTACTGCTTTACTAGTTACCTGACTTTTGCTTCCACAGCAAATATAAACCACTAGAGAGAATAAAGCAGTTGCTCAAAGAGGAACTAGAACTGTTCAACAGTATCAACGCGACCATGAGTGACTGAGGTGTTAAAACAAGCACCAATATGCATCATGGCAAATTTATGTCAAGTCTACTTGCCTTAAAAGGATGAAGCATACAATGAATTATGAAAATACAAGAACATATTAAATGTTGATAGTGTCAATGGAGTGATTAGTTCCCTTACTTTGCAAGCAACAAATTTGTCCCCATTTTCTGGTTCCCTTGCAAACCGGTTATAGAAAACTCTCATAAACTCAAATATTATTGAAAACTTATGCAAGTTGGCATCGGTTACGCTTATCTACAATCTAGTTAAGGACAAGATTAGGATTGCTGCTTCTGCAATTGATTTGCAAAAAACTGCATTGTAAACAAAGAACATAAGGGGTGTCAATCATTGGATGGGCTCCATGTATCTCAAGCTACATCAGTTTGGGATGATGGACCTTTCTCAACACAGAAAATATGAGCCAGGGAATTTACAAGTACTAGGTGAATTGATTCAAGTCACTCAACAAACACCCTTGTCTAGGTTCAAAAACACTGATAGAAGGCTATCTAATAATTTAGGCAAGTCATACGTTTATATTTTGAATGATGTTAACTGGAGAACCTTAGCTGGCCTATCGCCTTATCCTGCTTTTGCATCATTTTTTTGAGGAACCGGTCCAGTGAGCTTCTTGTGCTTTCCTCAGTATAAAATTAGAGTCACCTTCTTTATATGTTCATCAGTTGCTCTATGATGGAGCAAAGTGAAAATATTTTTATATTGACGAATACTTGGGATTTGAGCCAAGGGCCTTTCCCCAATTATTTGCCATGGTCAATGTTTGCTCCACCATCTTTTTAGGTCTATTAGAGGAGCAATTTATTATCATCAATATCATCAAACCTTAAGATTTTGAACTCATGAACAAAAAAACTCATCAAATTTATTCAATGACTAGTGTAAAAGATGAGACTAATTTTTTAAAGGCTTACCTTGCTCGAATGGACAACGTGCAGGATCCTCACCGAAATACAGGGCTAGTGCATCTGCATTCCTGCCCTGTGCATCAAGTGGAGAGAAGAGATCACCACCAAAAGAAACTCAAATTTAGTCATACAATTTCAAAACTGTAAAAAACATCAGAAGTTACCGCTACAGCATATAAATTTGTCAAAGATGTCACTTCTGCTTCAGCGGCTCCAATGAATTCCTTTAGTGTCTAACAAGCAGGTAAAAGGACGAAACAAATTATAGCCACTTGTGTTGTAATATACACATCTATGTAAAAGTACTAGTGTTAAATATAGTAATCCTAGTTTTAGAAGTGCTATGGTTTCTCATTGTGATTAGGTTTAAGTTTCACAATCCTACTTACAAGCCATATTGCTAAATTCCACCCTAAACTTTCCAGGGTCTCTAATCCTTTCAAGTACTGCACTATTGCTATTGTAATGAAATGACTCTTAGAACATCTAAATACTAAAATCATTTCCCTGAGAAAACAGAAGATAATATCCATCTGAAGATGATACATCCGTGCATAAACCTGAGATTAGAACGGTATGTAAAATTTAACACTAGTAAGTATCAGAGTACCTTGCGGAACGTTTCAGATACAGGACCATCATTCTCAGATGCAATCCGTTCTTGCTTTACTTTTTCTAATCCCTTTGTGATAGTCTGCATTTCATCTGCTAAAGCCTTCAATTGTATCTGTAAGTGCAAATGAATTTCAGTGAATTTCAATAACACCCAATGTCTTTTTCATAAAAATGATTAACAAAATAGGACAATATACCAACCTTTGAAGAAGCTTCTAGACTAACAAAATCCACATGGAAGTCCATCAGTGAAGGTGACTTTTGAGCTAGAGCCTGATGAAAGATAAAGCGATCGATGAAAAAATGAGAGCAAAGAATCAAATTACCTAGAGCAGTTTCAGCAAAGAAGGTTTTAATATTCTGAAGATATCTCGACACACATTTTAAAAGGGTAAATCACTATTAAAATCAAGCCTTCTGGTCAGATTGCAATTTTTGGCAAATCTTTTTATTTATTTATTAAACGATAGGGCAGTTATGTAAAAAGATTCCCTCCCAATTGGCAATTTCTCTGTACTTCTCCCTATAATAACCAAACAATGTTGGATGCAGTAGACACATTTAGCTCTTAACTTATCAGATGTGAACCCCTTCAAGTGTATGACTTCTCACTTTTCATTCCAATGGCAATCCTATCAGCATGATAACATAGATCATATATTTCCCTATGCAATGTCATCTTACTCTGATTCAACTGCGAACAGTTTAACCTTTAAGGGTTTAATCATGTGCAATCAATTGGAAATGGAAGAATGGAAATATGTAAATAGAAAGGGGTTGAAACCGTTGAATATATGTGGTAAGATTATAGATTGGTATAATAGAATGCAAGGTGCATAGGAACAAATAAACCATCCTTTTCCATCAACAGCAGAAACACCAAAGAGAATAAGAAATGAGAAAATCACCAAAGAAATACACTGAAAATTGAGAATGCATCAATACCTTACAGAGATAATGCATGAGTGTCATCCTATTGTTAGCACGTGTATCAGAAAGTTTTAAAAGACTATCCAACTTAAATCCAACTGCAGAACCTGGGCATATAAGTATATATAGAAAACTTAGTGTGCAGTGTAGATCGGTAAGAACGAAGAAAGATGCCCACGACAAGATCTAAAAAAACTAAAAAACTCTACAACACAGTTAACTGATTATAAATATATGCGTACACCTAAAAATGATATTCTTACCTCTGGCTGTTCCTTGATTTAATGTGTTTCCTAGATATAATATCTTCTTCATGATATCCTTCAGTTTCACAGAATTTCGTACCTGATACTTGTAGAAGTTATTTGCAGAAAAAATAAATTAAAATGAAGTGGGGTAAAAAGAAGGAACAACAACTGCATGCAGCAAAATCAGTAAGGTACCTCTTCACAAGCAGAGTTCACGATGGTTAAACTTTTTCTGAAATCTGATACCTGATAAAAGAGCCAGCTTTAGAAAATATTGAAAAGTGGTTCTTCACAAAATGCATGGATGTGTAAAACCTGTGTGTTAAATTGAATCTTGAAGAGAAAAACTCTTAATTTTGATTCCACACGTGGCACCTTCATCAATTCCAGAAAGAACTGGAACATAAAAAAAGGTGGTTAAATTAAGAACAGACAATGCTGATATCCATAATCAGATTTCAACACTCAAATATCCATATGGAGCATTAAGTACAATGAACAAGCAGTTACAAGTACATGAGAACAATAAGGTGAACCCATCAAAGAGCAATATAGAGTCATAGACCAATGGTTTCAAAATCAAAGTCATTGGAGACGCAACAAATCGAATTAGTAAAAAGGAATACTAATGCTTGTAAATAAAAGCATACATTCAATGGATTAAACAAAATGCCATCACGCGAGAAGCATTTTGTTACATATCCAGTATTCTTACAGTGCAACACATCCAACTAATGAATGCAACATGTTTTGAATTATTTCCAATTATGATGCCATTGTAGCATAAAGAGATCTGTCGTGAATTGTTAAATCCAGCATTTTCATACTTTATCCAAGCATCCATGCTGTAACCATGCCAACAAAAACAAGAGATAAAAGTAATATATTCTTCACATGCACAATACCATAATTGTGAGCTAGGTAGTACACAGAAAGGAGTCAGAAAGCATATTTCAACAAGACCAAGAAGACTTAATACTGAGACGCTTTTGTCATCCTAAACATATGAGAATGTCATTCTCAGCCTGACATAGACCATATCATATTCCACTCTATTCACATAGCAGTCATAAGCAAATGACTAAAACTAGATCTCATCATATTCTTTTAGCATTATATAACAAATATACCATTCTTACAGCAGTGACATTATTTCCGCATTTCCAGGCATTGTTATCATCAAATTGCAGAAAAACTTGTGCTATTTATCGGGTCACATACCTGTTCACACTTCCCCAGCATCTCCTTGTCACCAGTGTAATTCTGAGCAGCCATAAGAGCAAAAACTCAACAAACATAGAAAGCTAACAAATTGTTACTATTGAGATGATAAATTAGATGTGTGTGTGTGTGATCTTAGATCTGCCTGCATAGAAAGGGATAAAGAAAAAGGGAGGATGGAAAGTGTGTGTTCAAGTAAAACTAGCAACAAAATTAGAATTAAATGGATAGCTCACAGACAACCAAACAACAAAAGAAATAAAGCATCAGAGCGACTAATTTCACCTTGAGCAGTTCGATCTCTTCTTTTGTAGGACAAAATTTTATAAGATTTTCTACTTGATCAGCATCCAAAACTGACTCATCCATTGCCAATGCAGCAGACTGTGCAAGTCAGTCAGCAACGGCCATTGAAATTCAGTAAGTGATGGGATCAAACAGTTGAAAGATGCACATATTGAGAAAATAAACATGTTAAAGACTTTTGAATTGAAGTCAAGAAGCATAGTTCAAATAAACCACTTCTTACAGAAAATAGTTTTGAAGCACGATAAAACTGAAGAGAGAACTCAAGTTATCCTTAATATTAAATTAAGCTTTTTGTATTCGTATCAGAATATATGCATAGCAGCCAGAAGAGTTAACAAGTACGGGTTAAACATACTGGAGTAAATTCATAAACCTTAATACTATATTTGGTAAAAGAGTAATAAAGTAGATAACAAAAAATTACAAGCCTTTGTTTTCAACTAGGTAATCGGCTAGGCTGTATTTAATCGCTTAGTGTCATTTTGCAGAACAGCCTTACAGCGTAGTTGAATTGACCCAACCTTATTCTGGATCCTATCAATGTTATTATGTACCCTTTGTAAATTAAAAAAGAAAACTATTAATCTCATGAAATAATTACATAAATATGACCAAAATAAAGATGATTTACAAAAATATGACTAGTGACTAGAATAGTAATGAAATCATAGTAATTCATGTTCAAGTTTTGAGCTTAAGTTACCACAACACCACATTGTAGTAATGAATAGTCATATTTATGTAAATATGTTTTATTTTAGTAATAATCTTGTAAAAAAAACCTAATCTCATCTCTTTCACTTTGATCACTAACTAACCCACTACGCTCATAAAAAAACATATATTTGAAAAACATTTCTTCAAGGTCTAACTTCTTAGACACAACATATGACCAGCAATGTAATAACCAACCAAGGGAAAAAAGAAGGAAAGAAACACATCATTTAAAAATCTGGATTAACCATCCATGCTCTTATTGAAGCTAGTGCCCTCTTTTGGTACATCAAAAGAGAGCTACAAACACCGAAGAAAGACAAATAGAATGGCCTCCTCATAGAGGATAAACTGATCAATTACAACAAATGCTTATGAAAAATAGTCACAAACCTACCACCATATCTGGAAGTGGCATCTTGACCTTCGTGAGCATAATTTCAGTATTATTGGCCCTCCTCAAGTCAATCTGCCAATAGAATGAAAGGAAGAACACATAACAGGTTGAAACACCACAGGGTCAGATTTGGAAAATGAAAGAAATATTCAGGATATTTACTACTTCGTCCCAACAAAATGTTCTTACAAAAAAGGAGAAAGGAGAAAGGAGAAACATTTAAACAATAGATATGAAACAGATAGTCAAAAGGCTTATTCAAGCAAACCCAGACTAAATACCAAACGAACAAAGAACAAATCAAAAAATTATAACATAAACTTCTTTAAGGAATGAACTAGATAACAAAAACCACAAACTTCAAGCTTAAAAGTTTTTTCTTGAACTCAAAAAATGCTATACAAAAACAAAAGGATCCCCAGACTTTATACTGACACCTGATGGGCAAAATTATATATCTGCAGTCATGACTAGCCAAATTGTTCAGTCAAGTATGGGCTGCAGAAAACAATTTAGTAGGCTTTGGTTATTCAAAAAGCAAATCTAAAAATCAATTTCCAAGAGATATAAACAAAGAAAATGGTCCAAATATGAGTTACTATGATATCCTTAAAATTGAATAAAGACAAAAACTAAAATTGACATAAGCCAATGTCATGCTCTCTCGTTTGCAGCAAAAGCAGTACTTAAACAATAAATGATAGACCTTGATAGCATATATGCCCATCATTAACATAAAGGTCACATAGGAAGATCGAGTATACACTAATTAACATGGATACATAGCTAAACAGCTTAAAAGAAAATCTGGTGGCATGCAATAAGAGACAGGCAAATGTGGCATAAAACAAAGTGACTAATAGAAACACACAAAATATGTGCAGTAAGGAAAAGGAAATTGAATGTGATAGTCAGATTGTCAGTAACTGGTCATTTAGAACACATAACATAACTTTGGGGTCTTCGAATTACATTACCAGGTGAACCTTGTCAGGTTTAGATCCAGCAGACTTCTGTTTTCCTCCAGACTTGTCTTTATCTGATTTGGGGACCACTGCAGAGAAAAGAGTCTCAATTTCTGACACATCAAATTCTGGTGCACTGAATTGGAAAAAAATAGTCAGTTTCCTGATATTGAAGAGCAGTACTTATTATAATATATGAAAGAACGGGCTTAATACATCTGAGGTTCTCCATGTCTCTGTAATTCCTCCCACAAGCTTCCTTGTAGTGCTCTGGTTACCTTACTCCAATGCAATGGCTTCAATGTTGATCTTCGAACAGCTCCAGCAAGTCCTCTTCCAGAAGTCCCACGCCCTCTTCCAGAAGGAAGACCTCTCCCTGGTGGTGGTGGTGCACCTCCAGGAGGTCTTGGAGCCCCTGGTGGAAGAGGAGTTCCGGGAGCACCTGGTGGTGGAGGAGGTCCACGTGAACCTGTAGGATGATGAGAACCAGGACCAGGTATCGGTGGAGGGCCAAGTGGAGCACCACTTGGAGGGGGTGCATTAGGTTTTCTTCCACCTCCAGGAGGAGGAGGTGGAGGTGGTGCTCCGGGAGAGGGTGAGAGTATTGGTTCTCCAGCTCTTGGAGGGGGTGGGGGAGGTGGTGCTACGCCACTTGAAGGGGGTGGGGGAGGTGGAGTTCTTCCAAGGATTGGAGGTGGAGGTGGAGGTGGTGCTCCTGGAGGGGGTGCATTAGGTTCTCTTCCACCTCCAGGGGGAGGAGGTGGAGGTGGTGCTGCTGGAGGGGGTGAGAGTATTGGTTCTCCAGCTCTTGGAGGGGGTGGGGGAGGTGGTGCTATGCCACTTGAAGGGGATGGGGGAAGTGGAGTTCTTCTGAGGATTGGAGGAGGTGTAGAAAGTGGTAGTCCGACACTAGGTGACTGTAGATGAGGTCGTACTCCACCTCCTACAAGGGCTGGGGGTGGTGGAGGTGGGGGTGCTCTAATTCCCTTAGTGGGTAGGACTAGTGATGCTTCACCATGCAAAGGGGGTGGGGGAACTGGGGCTCCACTATGTTGAGGCTGTGGTGATTTTGGTGCTTCTATGAGGTTTTGAGGTGGTAGTGGAGAAACATTTCTTATCGCGGTTGGAGGAGGAGGTGGTGGAGGAGGAGGGCAGGCTCCAGAGGATAGAGGTGGTGAAACAACAGCCCCACCCTTTGGATGGGATAGTGCTAGAAGCTTAGGAGGTAGACGTGGAGGTGGTGGTGGCGGAGTTGGAGCTTTGCATATGGCATGACTTGGTGATGAAGGTGGCATTCCAATAGTTAAAGGAGATGGAGGTAAGGAAATATGCAAAGTTGGCAGGGGTGGAGGCTTTGGAGGAGTGTTCATCGGAGGAGGTTGTGGAGACCGGTGAGGGGTTGAAGCACTTTGGGACGATGGAGAAGGTGGCAACGGTGGTGGTGGTGCAACATGCGATGTAGGTAGGGGCTGTGATGATGGAAATTGGGGAGCACCATGTAAAAGATGCGGGGAAGGTAGTTTTTCACCTATAAAAGATCCCAGGGGAAGAATTGTGGGTGAAAATGTTGGACTACAAATAGGAGATAGAGAAATAGGACAAGTTGTAGTGGATAATGAAGCAGTAGTAGATTTCATAATTGATGATGAATATAAAGGTGGAGGAGGTGGTGGTGGTGGTGGTGGAAGTGGTGGAGAACTTGATACTACTATAGAAGAAGTGTAGCAAGAGACATTGGTCCAGCCTAATGAGGGGGTTGGGGGAGATGAGGTTGGCAAAGCCCTAAAAGCACTCTCTGCACTAGTTGAGGCAGGGGGTGGGGATGGGGGCGGAGGTGGAGGTGGGGGTGGGGGTAGGGGTGAAGGCGTTGGTGTTGATGGAAGCAGCTCAAAACACTTTCTGCAAGGAGTTGTTTCTGATGCAACAACAGTTTGAGGAAGGGGTAGGGGCTGTCTTGTCGGTGGAGGTGGAGGTGGAGAAATAGTACTCACTGTAGCACAAGTAGAAAACAAGGGAAATGTTGGCAGAGGGGGTGGGGAAGGAGTTAGACAAAGAGAAGAAACTGTTGTGCTAGAGCTCATATGTTGAGGCAAATGTAGAGTAGTAGGAGAAGATATCTGCACTAGCCGCTTATATGGAGCTTGTGATAATAGAGAGCTGGTATGCCAGGATGAAAGTGGAGGAGGTGGAGGTGGTGGTGGTGGTGGTGGCAGATGCACTTGCTGGACTTGGCATCCGTTTGACAGAGAAGTAGAAGAGACAATGATGGGCGCAATTTGATTAATTGATGTATCTAAAGATGCAGGACAGGAAAAATGTTTTGCTAAACGCCCTGTCATGCCTGTAGTATCATTTATTGCATCAGGGGTTTCAGGAAAAGCATGAGGAGATTGAGACTCTGATTTCCCTCCTGATTGAAAATCCTTTGCAAGATCAAGTGAAGGTGGTGCACTGTAATTCCTCAACAGAGGGTATGATTTATAAATTAAATTGGTCCATGAGCCTTCATAAGAATCCATCTGTTTTAGTGTGTTTTTGACACCAAATGCATCCTTCAAAGGTTCTGAGGTGGCTAGTGGCTGCTTCTTTGTGAAAGCAGGGGGTACATTGTCAGAGTGCAACTTGTTATTATCACCATCCGTTTGTTGGGAAGACTGCATTTTTAACTTCTGCGTGGGTGTTCTTTCTTTGTCTTGGTTGTTGTCCCCATCATCTGATTTTGCTTGGGGCTGTTTCTTTGGAGAAGCATCTGAAGAAGGTTCTGAGTTGGCTAGTGGCTGTTCAGGAGGTATATTGTCAAACTGCAGTTTGTTACTATCAGCATCCATTTTCTGTTGGAAACCCTGCTTTTCTAATTTATGTAATGGCGTTATTTCTTTATCTTGATTATTATCCCCGATGACTGACTTTGCTAGTGCCTGTTTCTTTGGAGAAGCATCTGCAGAATGGTCTGAATTATCCAGTGGCAGATTCTTTGGGGAAGCAGGGTGTACATTGTCATTGTCAGACTGCAGCATGTTACCCTCAGCATCCATTCTCTGTTTGGGACCATGCATCTCTAGCTTCAGTGTTGGTGCTCTATCCTTATCAGTATTAGTGTCCCTGTCAACTGACTTTGCTAGTGACTGTTTCTCTGGAGAAGCATCTGCAGCATGTTCCGAGTGTCCTGGTGGCAGAGAAACAAGAGATACATTGTAAAACTGCTGGTTGTTACTATCAGCTTCAATTTTCTGTGTGGAACCATGCCTTTCAGAATTCTGTAAGGGTGTTGTTTGTCTATCTTTATTATTCTCCCCTTCATTTTGTGTGCGCTGAACACTTTGATATGCAGTTTGAGAGCCTTCTGAAGTGCATGACAATTCGGGAAACATATTAATAGAGACTAACTCCTCATTTCCATTTGGTACAGGGCTGGATTTTGATGCCTGATAATCTGAACCAATCACACCATCATGCCTTTGGTTTCCTTCATCAGATGCACAATCTAGAAAAGAGTGTTGCTCCGGTTCCTCCTTCCACACTACATCATAACTCTCATTGTCCACCTGTCCGCTTTCTCCAACACTGGAATCATCAGATGAGTCCCTTCCCTCCTGACCGTCAACAATGCTGCTGAATATCTCTTCCACCTCAAAAAACTCTTCAAGTGAGGCCTCTGATGTCTCGCTCGCATCTTCAGATAACTCTTCTGTTGTGAAAATAGATGGAACTGCATCAGCATCCACAAAGAGAACCTGATACAAACAAAGAGTATGTTTCAAGTCCTATGCTTTGGGGAAAGCAACAAAAAAGGAAGATCAAGGCTATGAAGGAAACACCGACCTCCACTCTAAACTCTCGTGAGAATCTGTCTTTCAAATCCCAGAAGATATCAATTTCATCTCGGGTTAATATCAAAACATTTGAGCGAATAAAGGCTGTGTGGAACATGACTCTGAACATCATTTCCTCCTTGACTAGATCATCATCCAAATGTACGCACTCAAGAACAATATCTCCCTGGAGACGACAGTGAACATCTAATTTGACTAGCTCGCACTCCTCCTGCAGTTAAAAGTGATCAGAAGATGTTGGAGTTGAGAGTTAATTAACTGTCAAAGAATTTAATGGACTTACCTGTGTGTAGAGCCTGGAGTGTTTAGTTATCTTTGAAGTTGAAGAGAGAAGCGTGGAAGTCTTATTGGATTTAAGTAAAGAAGGATCCTGACCATAAACACGAACTACTGGGCGACATCCCCTTCCATTATTATAGAGAGGAAGGAACCTAAGTATGATACAGTCCAAAGCTAAGAGTGTGTCTGATGGAGGCCAATCTAACCCAAAACTTCTCCTAGAGATATACTGAAGATATCTAAGCTGCGATTGCAGTGGATTCAAAGGCGATAAAAGATAAACAAGTTCTCTTGGGGCTTGTTTGTATACCATTTCAAGAGTCTTCTGCTCACCGGTGTACTGTTTTCTGTACAAAAGAAGGCATGCGAGCATAAACGCCAACAAGGGCCATCCTCCCGTCTCACAGTGCACTAACAGCACATTTTGTTGGCTTTCGAGTGACAACCAGCTCTCACAGGACCGCAGAAAGTGGTGGATCATCTCCAATGGCAATACTGGGTACCCCTCGTGTTGCAAAGGATAATCCATGACAGTCATAGTGTACTGGGACATGATGTCAGATATTGGGCTTCTCCTATCCCGCTCTTTAAAGTTAAAAACCATGAAAGAAGCATCAGTATAGTAATCGTGCAGCTGAGCTACAATTCCACCCAAGTATGTTTTGTACTCATTGTCGTCCAATACCTTTGTGGAGAAGCAACAATCAAACACTGCAAATAAACAACATGCAAAAAAATGTATCAATGAATTTTTTTAGCATTCCCAATCAACATAATCCACAAGATGTGAAGCATTTTTATGATTAAAAAAATGGAGCTACATATTAATTCCCCTTCACCAAAAAAATATAAATATCTCATTAGATGCTCAAGCAACAAGCCGACCCCAAATTCTTTTGGGAATAAGGTCTGGATGTTGTTGTTGTTGTTGTATGCTCAAGCAACACATGCTAAAGTAGCTCTTAAACAATTCATTTAGAGCAAGAGCAGCCCATATTTTGGTGAAGACGTTTCTGACTCAGCTAGATATTTCCGCAAGTAGTCTTGAATAAATTCCAAGAAAAGTTTCAACATTTTGATCAGAAGTAATCTAAAAGGGTACTACTTCTAGCTAAGCTAGCTCCACACAAGCAACCATCAACCAGCCCAAACCCGAAGTTCAAGAAATTGAAAAAAGCAATCCCAATGGACTATTCTAGAATAGCCCGAAAGTCCTATAACTTCATAAAATATCAAATGCACTTATGAAGAGAGAAAAAACAGAATTTAATGCAACAGAGGATAAATGTGAGCAACCGTAAACCCGCTCGGAGATTTCAAGCAGCCGATCAGGCGGTTTCCGATAGAAGAAGCGTCTGAACAGCGCCATCTAATGGCGCTGTTACTTCCCCCACGTGTATCCAGAACCCTCCAACTCAATCTCCACTTTTCTTACACTGCAACAGATCTCTCCAAATTTTCTGAATTTGACAAAGCAATGATCCAAATGGCCGCCCCAATAATATTTCAGCAGCCAAATTAGATCGGCTTAAACCCAAAATGCAAGACCAGAAATGAACCGAATAACAGACAGACTTCCAACGTCCAATGCAAAATCCAATTGGATCGGTAGGAAAAGAATGGCAGTAGATAAAGTGCAGTGTAGAGAGCGAGGATGGAATTGAGACGAGAGACAAAAAAATCAGGTTAAGGGTTTGAGAGGGGAAGAAATGGGGGATTCGAAGAATTGATGGTGTTGTTTGATCGTTGCCATGTTTTGCATGCTGGAGAGAACGAGGAAAGAGAAGAGTGAAACGTAGTGGGACGAGGATCCGGATTTAGAATTAAAACCGTTGGACAACCCGGGTTGTTTTGGCGGGCTGAATTGACGGTTTGGTGGTGGTTATATTCTAGTTCTAGTCTAAATGAAGGGAAAAGGACACTAATATTACCGTTCCAAGCCCAATTCCACAAATGTGAGTCCAATCATAAAAAGACAAAAATGTAACCTTAAGAACGACAAGTTGCCAACTACCTTCCAAATCAACTTTAAAAGGTACATGTTGGCATATCGCAAATTATACTTGCTACACGACGAGCAAGTATACCGGTCTTTATTTTTGGCAAGCACTCGTAACGGACTTCTTTATTTTTTATTCCTTTTGTTGTTGAAAATTGTAATAACTTTTTTATTTCATATCCGATTTTTAAAAATTTTATACTCCCTTCGTCCCGGAATTATCTTTATACTTTCCTTTTCGATCTGTCCCAAATTTATCTCCTCTTTCCCTTTTTAGCAAAGAATTTGTGGTTCACAATCATTCTTACACATTCTTACACATTTCTCTTTCCTCTGCACAACTCTCCACCACACATTTCCTACTATCTTAATATGTGTGCCATTTGTACTTCAGGAGATAAATATGGGACGGAGGGAGTATTATTTTTTTTTCATTATCTATCAAATGAGACCAATATTACTTATGCAATTTTAAGAAATTATCGAACTATTATATTAATGAGTATTGGATTATAAGGAAAATCGAACTAAATTTAATACAGAAAAATAATTGTGTAAATCACAATTTATCTTAAAATTGTGTATATAAAAAATTTATTGTATTATGTATTTATACATGTGAATTACATATTTTTATACGTAAAGTTACATATTTTTACACGTAAAGTTACATATTTTTACACGTAGAGTTACATATTTATACACACGAGTTGCATTTGACCTGACTGGACGTGAGTTACATATTTCTACACGTAAAATTACATATTTTACATAGGTTAATATAATAGTTCGATAATATGTTAAAATTACATAAGCAATATTGGTCTCATTTGAAAGATCATGAAAAAAAAATGTTGATATAAATTTTATAAAAATCGGATTAAAAATAAAAAACTTATTACCATTTTTTTTTTAAAAAAAAGAGAAATAAAAAATAATGAGATCCAATGCAATTTGGGATGGAATATCATACGCACCATGGGACGGTCGTATGATATATGAACTGCTAGAACGACGTCATATTGATGACGGGTGTAGCATGCTCATAGTGGGCCGGTCGTATGGTATACGAACTTTTGACATATTACCTTAACAATGCTTAATAATGCACTCTATACAATTAATGCTTTTTTAATTTAATATTATTTCAAATTTTCAATGCATTCAGTAACCATGCATTCTATAATAAATCTAAAAAAGTTAATGTTTTTTTGTTTTAATTTTATTTTTGAAAATAGAAATTTAGATATGAAAATTGTGTGACAATTGTTCGAGAAACTATCGTCCCAGTTATACTACTGCTCTAGTGTCACTATCTCAGTTACTATCGCTCCAATGACATCGTCTTAATTATTATCGTTCCAGTGACACCATCTCAGTTACTACCGGTCCAGTTACCACCATCTCAGTTACTACTCCTCTGTTATCATTGTCCTAGTTACAACCTCTGTGTTACTACCGTCTCGATTACTAACGCTAAGAAATTACAGTTACAACCGTCTCAGTGACCTAATTTCCAACATCTCCGCCTAGAAACATCATCCAACCGCCAACATCACAACCTTGCCCCGCCAGCTCCGCAGCCTCTGCGGTGGTGACTGTTGACAGTTGACACTGCCACGGTAGTTACTACCGTTCCCCGAAACTATTGCAACAAAATACGGAGTACAAGTTATGATCTCATAGTGACCCCGACGCCTCACTGATGTGGACGCCCAATGACCACCCAACACCACCCATATCCCGCCTAACCACCGCAACTCCTCAGCCCCCATCTCACCGGAACCCGTCAACTGTCCAGTGTTCCACTAGCCCCCACCAACAATTGTCACGGGGCCAAGTCTGGCTAGCTTCCCTCCAAGTCTGGACATGTAAGCTGACATTTGCACACATGCATCCTCCACCATCGGCAATTTCAGTAGCAAACTCACCTAAACTGAATCAACAAAAACCTGCTCTTAATTTCTCAATTTAGCAAAACCTAGTCCCAATATAAATGTGGTCATATATTTGTCAAATCCAAAGTCATTAGTAATATTGGTGTCATTTTCTCCTAAATAAATACCAAAAGAATGCACATATATTATTATTATGGGTTTTTACAAAAAATATTATCAAAATAAAAAACTTATTTACAAAATATAACTATTAGTTATTACAATGTAGTATTATAGTAACTTAATTTTAAAAATTGAACATAAATTACTATAATTTCATTACTACTCCGGTCATTAATCACTTTTTTATGAACCGTCTCTCTGTTTGGCATTGATATCATAGATTTATTCATTTTAGCCGACATCAAATTCTTTTGAGATTAAGGCTTGAATGTTGTTGTTGTATTACATTACAAAGTTATTAAATCCTAAATAGAAGAGATAACCATGTAGGTACAGAAGATCGAAAATCTTTTTAATTATTTCAATTTCCATCCCCAAGTGAAGAAAATAAAACTAATACGGAGTAAGTAATAGACATAATAAAATGATGCATTGAAATATAAAGAAATGAACATTAATACAACTCTAAAATAGTATCAGAAAAATTAGAGAGCACGTAAATGATCCCATATTAATTACCTTTGATTATTTATTGGGAAATATTTCCCATATCATTAAGTTACAATGTAATCTTCTTTAAATAAAATTTAAAATGTATTGCGTAGTTCAATTAATGACGTCTTCTTTATTTTCAGTCTCAAATCAGATTAGACCAAGTCAAAATATAAAAGTATCAGATCAGATCAAACTAGACCTAAACAGACCATATTAGACCAGATCAGACCTGGACAATGATAAAATACATATAGATCAGACGTTTACTAGATCAGACAAGTTTAGACCATACCAAATCAGACTTATACAGATCAGATCAGACCACATCACACCTAACCAGACCATCAAATTTCAGTCCAAAAGAAAACATTTTAATACATGTATGCAACTCCATATATCTTTTATTTAGTTTTCATTTTTGAAATTAAATAATTAATAAGATGAATTCACATTCTTGTTCGACGTCTCGTAAAGCTTGGTCATATCAACTTTTCTTTAATTTATCAATGATCGTCAAATTTGACTAATGATATTTTTAATATTAAATGATTTAAAGTATACTCCATCTGTTTTACTAGACTTTGCACAAACCTCAAATTTAAAGCAATGAACTTGTGGCTCAATTCACTTCTCTCACATTTGCACAAATTAAACCTCAAATTTAAGGGAGTACATATGTGTAATGACGATTTTGATATACTTACTGAAAATTAAAAAATTATAAACATAAAAATAATAATATATTAACACATTAATTGAGTTATAAAAAAATGAAAAACCTTCATTAATAGTACTCCGTAATATTTTATAAATGGGCAAGTGATCAACATTATGATTGTCATAGGTTTGAGTATATTGCATTCTAAATAGTCAATATCTACCCATGTTAATATATCCAAACACCTAAATGTAAACATATATTACTTAGTGAGAGTAAATTACTTTATGGCAATGAATAATACATAGGTAAAAATATACTAGTATTATTTAATGAGAGTAACTTTATGCTTTTATGTTTAACTTCGATATCGTAATTTAACTTGAAAGGTTAGAGCGTGGTAAGTTTTTAAGAGTGGAGTTTGGTTTCAATTATATTTAGTACTACCTCCGTTACCATTTTAACTTCCAAATGAGTTTGGTACAAAGTTTAAGATAGTGGATATTGTGTGGTGGAGAGTTGTGCAGAGGAGAGAGAAATGTGTAAGAAATGTTGTGAACCACATATTCTTTAACAAAAAGGGAAAGTGGAAGTTTTAATTGGAACGGACGGAAAAGGAAAATTGAAAGTTTATTTAGGAACGGAGGGAGTATAATTTATCTAGACATGACAAAACAAAAATTCTAAATATGACCACCATATATAATGATCGATTTTCCCTTTTCATGATCTTATTTAATTAGGTTGATGTAATTGTAATTAACTCAAATTAACGATGTTCGTTGTCTATTAGCTTAGAAATAAAAATGTACGTAGTGATAATGCAGTGATCTTATTGGGATTTTAGAAATAAAAATGTAGTGATATTGTTTTCTTCTTTCTTAATTACCCAATTATTCTTTACTACGGAGTATATATTAAGGAGTATCATATTATTCATACAGCGTTCTCGTCTCACTAACATTGGGACAAAAGGATGTTGCGGATTATTAAGAAAAATGGATTTATGTGATTGATATTGAATTGATAAAATGAGAATAAAATAAGAATGTCTTAGAAGCACGTCAATTTTATCAAATTCGATATGAGACAATCTTATTGGAACGGTCCGACAAGAAAAGATGAAACAATCTTAGCGTGACAGAGTATGCGTTGTTATGGTCTTAGTGATAACAATTTGGTACGTCAATAACTTAAAGACCGTCAATGTAATTGTTTGTCTATGACGATACTCGTGGGATCAAATTGAGAGTTAAAAGTGTGTTGAAGACTATTTAATTGTGTATCAAGTTTGTCGAATGTCTTGTAATGGTCTGTATTTACTATGCATGTAATGCATTTATACTCTGTAATTAATAGCATAGTAAATGATATGGGGACAAAGTGTCTGGCCCATATCAGGCGAGAAGCCTTTACGCAAACCTGACATGCGCCTATAAAAAGGCGCTGAAGGCCCAGGTTTGCGGTAACTTTGCATTTCGATATTTCAGCCTTAGCGCTAATCTTGTGTTGTAAAGTTCACGGTATATCAAAGAAGGGTTTTAAAGGATCTCAGTGTAATATCTTTCTGTTACTCTTATCTTTGATCATATATATATTGCTGTATACGTAAAACAGGGATTAACAAATGGTATCAGAGCCGATCGAGAATTGATCAAAAGAA